CAGGTACAGTAGAGAGCGCCCTCCAGCGGCTATAGTAAAACTATGCCCATTGTTCGTTTTGTCGTACCAAAGAACCCTTGTATACCAATTTTCACTGTTATACATCAAATATTGTTCGAAATATTTAAAAAAAACTATTTTAAAAAGTAAATTTAAACACCCTGTATTTCGGAAGCCACGCATTTTTCGACCCATGTTTATATAGACTTTATGCATCAATTTTAAAAGTTCTATCGAATCTTAAAGTTATGCAACAATAAACTGAAACACCCTGTATATACGAAACACTTGGAACTTATCCTGAGGTTTTTATGCTGATCGTCAGCCTATATAAAGCAAAACAACGATTGCCTTTCTGGTTCCTTCGTAGATTGTGACCCTATTTGTATCCTTTAAGGAAACATCTATTCGATATTGCTGACTCGTGGACCGTATGTTTTTTCCTTTCCGTTTTTTTTCTTATGGTTGGTTATTGTATTTCAAATGCACATATGTTTTGTTTTGTACTTACATTATTTCCTTGTAAGATGATCAATATGGTGCCGTGTCGGTGTCGAAGTACTTTACTCTCATTTCGCAAGTTCTCGGAGAACGTTTGGTGTTTTCGCGACGATAAGCGAGAATGACATATCTGGCACATCCAAAACAAAAGATATCCTTATGCTTGCTTGTCGCTCTGGAGGGCTGGATTTTTTTTTGGGGAGCCGGAATTCCTTTCCCAGGTACGCCTTCGCTGTTTTTATGCTGATCATCGCCAAGTTTGACTTTTAAATTTTGGCACCTCTAAAGAGATTTATGACTGCGACCAGAACTATCAGAAACGAAAACTGAAGAAGCCAAGCTTGGTAGAGTAATAGATTCTTTTAGTGATAATACCGGTACCATTTGAAGTTCATTCAACATTTTAATACGAGGTTTGTACTGGGTGCGCCATCTATTACTTTTTTTTTACCTATACGTTTATGTGTTACCATGTGAGTCAAAAATCATGTGGTATGCATAAATGAACTGTCAAAGGTATGCCATTTATAGTCATGGATTCGTTTACAACACAACAACGCATTTTGGTTATCCAAACTTATTACGAAAACGGTCGAAATATAAAAAATACTTTTCGCAAACTTAGCACTAGCTTTGGCCGACATGGACGCCTTACAGAGCCTGGAATTCGTTGGATTGTTAATAGTTTTAAGGAAGCTGGCTCAGCTGAAGGTCGTAGACCATACCAACATGCTCGTCCAGCTTGTACTCGTGAAAACATACCCGCAGTGAGTGAAAGTGTACGAGAAGATCCAACCACCTCGACTAGGCACCGTTTGCAACAATTGGGAATTAGTGAGACCACTTTACGTCGTATTTTACACATTTACACCTCCATCCATACAAAATCCAACTAACACAAGAACTGAAGCCGACAGACCATCAACAGCGGAGTGGTTTTGTTAATTGGATGCTGGAACGAGAAGACAGATTTTCGGACAGAGTGCTCCTTTCTGATGAGGCTCATTTTCACCTCAATGGATACGTAAATAAGCAAAATTGCAGATTCTGGGGTGGCTGAAAATCCACACCAATATCATGAACAACCTCTCCATCCTGAAAAAGTGACTGTTTGGTGCGGATTATGGGCTGGTGGCATCGTTGGACCATTCTTCTTTGAAGATGCCGAAAAAAAGACCATTACCGTCAACGGGGAACGTTTTCGCGGCATGTTAACAGACTTTTTGTAGCCACAATTGGATCGTGTTGGTGCCGACGATCTTTGGTTTCATCAAGACGGGGCAACGGCTCACACATCTCGCCAAACAATCGCCTTATTGCACACGAAAATTCAAGACCGCATAATTTCACGAAATTCAGATGTCAGTTGGCCCCCGAGATCGTGCGATTTAACACCTCTTGACTATTTTATTTGGGGATTTTTGAAAGGAAAAGTGTATGCGAATGGTCCCCGGACAATTCAACACCTAAAGCGCAATAATCGGACTGAAATTGCGGCCCCGATTATTCTGGGAAAAGTCATTGAAGATTATGATGTTCGGATGTTGGCCTGTGAACGAAGCCCCGGTGGTCACATGACTGATGTTATTTTTCATACATAAATGGCATAAAACAAACTTCATTTATCAATAAAAAAGTCGATTTCACCTCATAAAAAGCGTGTTGATTTTTCAAACAGAAAAAGAAGTAATAGATGACGCACCCTGTAAATTAAGTGGTGACGCTGAATGTTTTTAATTTTTTTTTTCAAATGTAATTACAATTATTATCTCATCCACTCCTCATAGCAGTGCTGGGACTCCGATACTGTAATAGCTATACTACAACTATTTAAAACTGTAATGACTCATACGCGTGATCAACACGTGATCAGAGCTCGATCCCGGCTTCCTTCCAGTACAGCCGTATAGCGTACGACATATGTCGTTTCTGTGGCTTTGCGGTGGTCAACAGCACAGACAGAGATGGAAATAATGGCTGATTGTTCTCCGCCGGTAGAACCAATGAAATCAAAGACACGTCTCGACCGGCAGACCCATAGGCGTCGGGAACGCATTGGAACGTGTTTCGTTGAGCGATCGCATATTGTGTGTTTTTATAAGAATTGTTGTGTGATTGTTATTGTTGTGGTATCTGTGGTTACTGTTTTGGTTATACTTAACCATGGAGAGTACAAATGGCACGAGTGGAAGTACTGAAAGCCAGGGAACAAGTAGACGGCTTCGTAAAGCACTGAAGAGGGACGCGAAAGAAATCGTGCTCAACGTGTTCAATTATCTGAACAGAACTATGTCGCAGGAAGATGCACTCGCGCATTGTGAAAGTATGACAGGCGTTCCAGAGTGGACCATTCGCAGGGTGGTGCATGAAAAGAAGAAAACTGGAGCTACTACTGATCAAAAGTTTAATTTGAAGGGACGAAAGGCCGTTAAATTGGATGACGATAGCAAAATGGCGTTAAGGCGAACCGTACATTCATTCTTCTTTAGGAATGAGATACCAACCCTCAAGGCTGTACATGCAGCGATCAAGGAAAATGAAATTATACCCCAAATGAGCGTCGAGGTAATGAGGAAATCCCTGCACGAAATTAATTTTCGTTACGAAACGCGTAATCGGAAGTCAGTATTGATAGAGAGACCTGAAATAGTCGCCTGGCGTCGAAAATACCTACGCGAAATGATTGAATATAGGCGACAAAGTAGAAAAATCTATTATTTGGACGAGACATGGGTAAATGCAGGTCACACAGTTAAAAAAACCTGGATAGACAAAAACGTAGTAAGTAACCGACAAGCAAGCATTGAAGATTTGTCAACAGGTCTTTGTGGACCGTCAGGGAAAGATCAAAGATTGATCGGAACTCATATTGGTAGCGATAGTGGCTTTTTAGAAGAGTGTGACTTGATTTTCGTCTCTAAGAAAGGAGGTGATTACCATGACGAAATGAATGCCAGCTGCTTCGAGAGCTGGTTTCAAGAGGTGCTTCAGCGAGTTGAGCCCAACTCTGTGATCGTCATGGATAATGCTTCCTACCATAGTCGTCGAGCCGAACGTGTACCGACTATGGTTGCGTGAAAAAGGAATCCCGTTTGACGATTCATGTGTGAAAGCGGAATTGTATGAAAAAATTAAACAGCACAAACCTGCGAAGATTAGTTACGTGACTGATGAGATGGCCCGTCAATGTGGTGTCACGGTGCTGCGGTTACCGCCCTACCACTGTGAACTGAACCCAATAGAGCTCATCTGGGCTCAAGTGAAGGATTATATCGCGCGCCATAACACAACCTTCAAATTACCAGACGTTAAGGTGTTACTTGAGACTTCCATACAGCTAGTAACGCCCGAAGCTTGGCAGAATGCTATCCCTCATGTTGTGAAGGAAGAAACAAAAATACAAAAATGTGGCAGCTTGACCATCACATCGACACCATCATAGAGCCAGTTATAGTCAATTTCAGCGAGGAAAGCGATAGCGACAGTTTATTACTGTCAGATGTAAGTGGAAGCGACGATGAATAAAGGTAATTCCCAAATTTTTGACTTACAATATGTTTCAAACCACTCTTTATTAAGCATGTGACAAATCTAGTTCACCCATGTTAAACATTCATACCCCGCCTATAAACAGCCGACTACTGGTAGTTAAGTGATGTTCACGTGAACATCGATGAGTCATTACAGTTTTAGATAGTTATAGTATAGAACGTTACGTGTTCTGCGTGATTCGCTTTTCTGTTTCCGTTGAGGTTACAGCCGTTTGAATGTTTTTGAATGTCCCGAAATGAGTTTAGATGGTTTTTCAACTTCGGGCAGAGAAAAAAGTCACAAGATTTCAAGTCAGTCGAATAAGGAGGATGAGGAGTACACATGAATGTTTTTACTGGCCAAAAACTCGTTTATTGACATTGCTGTGTGACAAGGAGCATTATCGTGGTGCAACACCCAGTTGTTCTTAGTCTGAAGAAAAATCTGATAGCACACTATTGCTCGAAATTGATGGCACTTAGTTTCAGATCACAATAGAAAAAAATGTAACGGACAACCAGATGACTCGAGCGACTTCAACTTGTACTGCAATCGGATCACATGTTCCCCCGTTGCTCGAAATTGATGGCACTTATTTTCAGACCACAATAGAAAAAATGTTACGGACAACCAGATGACTCGAGCGAGTTCAAACTTGTACTGCAATCGGCTCACACGTTCCCCTGTCTCTCCTCCAAGCCCGGCGCCTTCAGTGTTGCCAGATCAAACGCTACGTTGCCAGTCTTGTTACTTCATTTACAGACCTCGCACTGTCCAAGTCGCAGAGAAACCAATGATCAATTAGTTTTTTATTACCTTTTACTTTGCCGCAACTGAAAGGGTACAGGGTAGTACTTCGAAAGATAGTAACTTAGGATTCCTCTTTTAACATGTTTATCATTCTGTCATCATTTTACCCTATAACATATTAACTCTGAATACACTATCCATATAATGTTTCTTTTCAGAATGCCGCATTCCCCATAAAAATCGCAATCCCCCGGTACCAGCCGATCTTTTTCATCCGCGACGCTGCACCTTCATTATCGCCATCAACCGACCTGTAGCCGGTGTCGGTGAGAAGATAAGCGCGGATACTTTTCAAAAGTGCGATTTTATCTAATCAGTTGACACGACAAACAATGAACCTGATTTTATCTGGGATGTTGTGTTCGGATTTTCGTCAGGTCGTCGGGAAACGCTGCGGGAAGATGAAGTTAGCCGCCAAAGAAAATGTGCTTCGGGTCTCCTTGTTGGTAATGAGCATCTGCTTTGGGGTAAGATTTATACTAGGCATTTATAATGTTATTCTGAGTTGCCGTCAGAGAATCGTCGAGCGATAGCCAAGCAGTCTCGTAAACTAGCTTGAATTGTTGACTTTTTGGTCACCTCGTTATATCGCTTATAACTTGACGTTCATATACGCCACTATATGAACGTCAAGTTGGGTGGCGGGGAGGTGTGTAAGGGACGTGAATAAACCAAAAAGGCACAAATCATGTGAGGCCTTTCTGATTGTGATTTATTTACTCCTCAAACACAATATGGAAAATGAGTAAATAAATATGAACGAAGGATACATAGGAGGCACTGCCTTTACAAGGACAATAATGTTGCAGTTATGCATAGATTTAAAAAAAAAATGAAACAGCTGATCAACGAATCATTTGAAGGTCACATTCCGTACTAACTTGAGCATGTCTGGCCTTGCTAAAGAAAATATCCGTCCTTTTAATTTTTTATGAAATTATTCCCAAAGCATAGGTTCTTTATATTGTCAGGTAAATTTGGATATAATTTTGGTCCTAAATAAAGGTTTGGTCGCTGTGTTATTGATTTGTTAGGTACAAGCGTTCCTCACAGTTTATGCATGGTGATAGCGTTTGATTTTTTGATTGTTACTAATAAATTTGTGATAGTTGGTGATAACGTATATAACATGCTAAGGCATCAGTGGTATGTAATTTTGGTTATTTAAACATTGTCTTTAGAATCATTTTTTGGAAGTATTCTGAATCATAAATATGAGTTGAGCATGTAGCTGCCAATATACCGTAGATTAAACGTGGTTCGATCTAGGTATGGTATAAGGTATAGAGATATTATTTCTTTTCTAATACCTTTGAGGTATTCAATGTTCTATCTATATCTATATAAGCTAACTTTTTTGTGGTGTGTGTGTCTAGAAATAGGTCAAGGTATTTTGTATCTGATATTCTATTAATTTCCAATTTCTGATTATTTATGAAAAAAGAGTTGTTTCTGAAATTTGGGAGACGTTTAGGAATATGAAGTAAGTGTTAAAAAAGCGTTTTATAGTATTTCTAATTTTTCTGTTATTAAGCCACAGAACAATTTTGGCAAAATCATTTTCAACTGTGTATTTCAAGTCAGCCCAATCACCACCTTTATACTGAGGACTGCTTTATCATCTGCGAAACTTATTATTTTGTCCACACAATCAATTTGAAATATATCTTTGAATGTATACTAAGTGACATATAAATCCGAACACCCAGTTTAAATGGTTTTATTTTAATAAAATTTTGTATAAGTACTTAATGAAGCATAATAAGTAAATGATAAAAATTTCAAAATGATTGCACTGCTTTAAAGCCCTTTGACCTTTAATAATGTGTGAATGCACCCTGATGTGCTACGCATTCTCCAACGCGCCTAGGCATGCTTCTGATCAGGTGGTCAATGTCCTCCTGTGGTATCTCATTCCAGGCAACCACCAACTCCTCTCGAAGTGCTTCTAGAGTCTGAGGAGGACGTTGCAAATTGAGCATCATATCCCACAAGTGCTCAATTGCGAATAACTCGCGAGATCTTGGTGGCCATGGTAACAATTTGACATCATTATGTTGAAAGAAGTCTATTGTGACTCTTGCAACATGTGGTCGGGCATTATCTTGTTGGAAAGTTGGATCTGCCAGGGTGTCAAGATAGGGTAAACGATGGGGTTCTAGAACTTCGTGGATATAACGCTGCGCGTTCATGTTACCTCTGATGAAGATTAAAGGTGACCTGGAACCATAAGCTATAGCACCCCAAACCATAACTCCAACAGTGTGATGAACATGTCTTTCAACAAAAAACTGTGGATTCCTCCTTTCACCACGTCGCCTTCTAACCCTGGCACGACCATCGTGCATGCCTAAACAAAATCGAGACTCGTCACTAAAGACAATACTGTTCCATTCCTGATCCCAGAGTGACCGTTGTCTGCACCACTCAAGGCGATTACGTCGGTGTTCTCGAGTTAAAGGGAGGAGCCAGTGTGGCCGGTATGAAAACAAGCCAAAACTTCTCATTCGTCGGTAAACACTTCGCATGCCAATAGGTCTTCCGTGTTCTGCAAACCATTCATTTGTAATGGACCTGGTAGTGGAGAAACGGTCCCTTAAGGCCAATAACCTTAGGCGGCGATCTTCACGGTCTGTTGTTCTACGGCGGCGTCCAGTGCTCCTTGCTCTTTGCGTACGACCTTCTCGAAGCCATGCCTGACAACACCTAACCACAGTGTCTACACTTCTTTGCACTCTAACTGCAATTGCCCGAAAAGAAAGTCCAGCTTCCCGAAGTCCCACTATACGGCCCCTATCAAACTCACTAAGTTGACGGAATCGTACAGGTCTCCGTACTCTAGGCATCGTAACCGATCGTAAAGGATGTCAAGAACCAAAATCCGCCAACGTTGATTCTTTACTGCGACTGAAATATTCATTTTTAGAGCGTTAGTGAATTAAAAAAAACAGTATAAAAACCGGAATGTCCAACTGATAAGGCTGAAAATTTGTTCACTTGTTATTTACAGTAAGATAAATACATTCACCAACTTTTATTAAAATAAAACCATTTAAACTGGGTGTTAGGATTTATATGTCACTTAGTATATATTGAAAAGCAGTGGACCTAAACCGTTCCCTGTGGGATGCCATATTTGATAAACATTTCATTACTGAAAAATCTTAACAGATTGCTGTATGTCTATTAGATAAGTAATTTTCCAATATCTAGTGCGTCTTTCCCCGAAAGCCAACTCCCTCCATGTATCTAACAATAATTTATGGTCAACATAACGTAAAAAATACATATTTAAACCTTCAATTTTCTAAATAAGACAGCACATCACCCATCTATTACCTGAATCCCCACTGCGACAGTAATTCAGATACTGGTAATATATGAAACCTTGTGCTTTCTTATTCTGATAGACCTTATATCCTGGACCAAGCCTAGATCATTCTGATGAGTTGCCAAGAAGCACGAAACAGCTGTCTAGATCATTCTGATGAGTTGCTTAAAAGCACGAGCCAGCTGTCCATGTTTGGCAGTCTGTGGTCGGATGGACAAAAGGTATATTACTAGTTGCTTCAGTTTCCTATTAGACGTTTAGAGAGATGACCGTTTTTGTTTTATTTTTATTAGTTTTTCCATAATTTCGAGGTGTCATTTTGCTCTTAAAAAGCCAGCAAGTTTTTCGTGCCTTGCTGAGTAAATTTACGTAGTTCTACATTTTGAAGAGTGAAAATACTTTTATGTATCTTTTATGAACAAATTGCAAAAAACGTTGTTTACCTCTCAAGGATCTTAGCTTATGTTTGTATTTCAGAAAAAAATACGTAAAATTCTACTTTAGCCGCGGATAAATATTTTCGTATATTTTGTTGATAAATAATAAACGTGAGTCTCACAAGGAGAAAACTTATTTTCATATTTTCAACAGGAAACGTAACGTTTCTTTCCCCACTAAAGCCTTAACAGGTTACCATCTACGAACAGACACAAAGTTTGTCATTCATATGGAGATTTAATAGCAAAGCGAGAAAAAATATACAAACGACACAATAATCGTGGGTCCGCAGGGATTTTTTAACCTTAAATCCTATATTTGGGGCCCTAACAAATGGGTACTTGGTCACCGTTAAAATAGAATACCGATAATCGGTACCTTTCAGTCCCAAAGCATCCCAATTCGTAAACTTGAAGCATGGGTATCACCTGCTGATTTGCAAATCCTGGGATAAATATAGATCAAGCTTTTACAACGTTTTTGGGCTCCCTCCTTACTGAAGTTAGGTATAGCTGCTAAATTGACAACTTCGCCCAGAAGGGAGTCAGCATTTTGTTACCCTGATCCCCGCTCACCCCCCCCCCCTTATGTATGCCACTGTCGCTTGTGATTTGTTAAAACAACCTGGAGTCAGCTTTGACATTATTTGGTCTGTGCTGACAATGCTGCATTCTTTTTGTTCTCTTAATGAAATATAACAAGCGAATCAAGATCATTCCCAATGAAAATGTATACCCTGCCACTGGAAAATGCATCGTACGCCACTGGTTAAGCGTGTCTCTGAACACGGCGCGTTTCGCGTTACGTGTTATACTCTCTTCCGTTTGAGTATCCGAGTATAGCAACTGTGCGACTATTTGCATAATGCTTTAGCGGAAAAATGGTGATGACTCAGAACACATTTATAAATTCGTATTCGGTAACGTGGCCGGACAATTCAAAATCAAAAATAGAGAAGCTCCAAGTACCTTGCACTCCTTTATGTAAAATTAATTGTTACTTTCAGATTTTGAGTATATCGCTGATAGCTCTAGGAATAGCTCACATAGGAGAGCTGAAATGGCCAAGGAGATACACCGGTCTGAATTTTATAGAGCTGCCTACGTTTGTAATCATCCTGGGCGTTATGAGTTTCATTTTGGCTGTTGGAGGATGTATCTGTTCGAAAAGCTACAGTCGAATATTCTATAGATGGGTAAGCAGATGCTTTTGTCAAATGAATTTACATGTACTACAAAGCCAAGGAAGCATGTTCATCTCAATAAAAAAGAAAAAAAATGTTGCTATTTAGGTCACCGTGTAGGGGAAGTCCGGGAGACTTGCCCCTCCCAATTTATTATTGGTGATAAAATTTGTTCCTATTTATATAAATCAATAAATTTTAGATGCCTTCGTAGCATATATTTTTAGGAACCTTGTTTTATCATTTAAACCTTAAACAAATAAGTAAAAAAAAATATATAGGTTTTTTATTTTTTTGGAAACATGGGCAACTCTCCCACATATGCGGGAGACTTGCCCGTAGTCAGAAGGAGAGTAGCCCACCCCCCTTATTAAATAAAAACAAATGTAAATAATAACTTTGGTATTCGAAAAACTCAAAAAATAAAATAAAAAACTTTACTTATTCAAGTACGAAACTAAATCTAAATCTTTGAAATCAGAATAAACATAAGTTTAATGCAAAAAACAAATAAAAACAATTTTAAAAAAGTATGAACCTTCTGGGCCATCAGAAACGAAGTCTTCTGGATATTTGATACGAGGGAATATAAATAAGGGTGGAATAACGCTTCCAATTGCATTGACTGCAAAACAAACTGTCACCAAAGTGCCCCTCTCTGATGAAGTAACTTGACCAACCTGCTTAGCTTTTTTACTAGCCAATACCTTAGGACAATCCTGAAGTTTAGTACATCCTACTTCATCATAGTTATAAATATTTTGTGGTTCAAACTTAAATTTTTCTCGTACGATTCTTAAGTTTTGAAAAAAATCGAGTACATTCTTCCGACTGAAGCTTGTAGATCGTGACAAGCTTGTTGCCTGCGGAGTTCTTAAACTAATTTCGGGATTTCTCGATAACAAACCGCGAAACCAATCCTTCCCTGCCATACTATTTTTTGACCAACTTTCTAGAATTTTTTTGGAATTCGAAACTGCAAACTCAAAAGCAAATTTCATTCCTTGTTTTCGAGTAAGTCCATAGTGAATTTTGCTGCAATTTAAAAAATATTCAACCAGAAGCTTCTCTTCTTGTATGGTGAATATTTGTGAAGTATTATACTGGCTTTTAGTTTCTATTTTTTCAAGTTTATTTTCATTGTTTTTGTAGCGTGTCAAAGTCCTCCGATCAATATCATATTTTGCAGAAGTTTTTCAAAGAATTCTTAGTTCATCTAGTGCATTTTTAAGAACATCCTTATCAAGTTTTTTGCGAGTGGAACCTTCTTTTGTTTTGTACTTAAATGGCATTGTACAGACCTGTAATAAAAAAAATGCATCAACTTTTACTAAAATTAATTAAAAACAAATACCAATTTAGAATTACATCAGAAAGAGAGAGTCTCCCTCCTGAGGTATGGGCCAGTCTCCCACACCTTTCTGTTTCAGGTTAGGTTCAATTTTCTTAAACATCAAAAATAGTGCACGTTTAACATTTATGGTGCATAAATCTACAATGTCTAATTAATATACCCACACAAGAATTTAAAACTTACCTTTTAATTTGCCCACAAAATCACCAAATTTGTAAAAGTATTAATTTTTGGTTTAAACGCAAAAAGCCACATGCCTCGGGTCAGATACAAAACAAACTGAGAAAAGTCAACTAGGATTTCGTAGACGCCTAGAAGCACTAGAGGGCGTACCGTTTTCTCTCGTTTCAGATTATGGTGCGCAATTTTAAAGTAAATATATCACGGAGGGGCAAGTCTCCCACCTGGGCAAGTCTCCCGGATTCCCCCTACTGTTTTTACTGACATGTACCCAAAGAAATTGTTCAAGTATACAGTTACGAGTGTACACAAAAATTATGGAAGCCCACTTGTCAACTATGGTTCTTTCCAGTGTAGATCTACTTTAACTAATCTACCATATTTTGAATAGTTTTGCTCTGAATTTGTTAATCGGGCAGTGTTACCAACACTTGAGTAGCAAAATTTTCGTGGGAGGTTGCCAAAAGTTACGAAAAGTTCATGTATAAATGACATGACTTTTTGCTACCCTCGCCCTGGGCAGTACCGCCTGGGTGGCTATCAAAAGGAAAGTGCCACAGATTGAAAACTGGAGAGCAAAAAAAGGTCTTCAGGTGCTCCTATTTAACCTTACATATGTCTTCCTAAAATAAACCCTTCTATATAGAAATTTCGGAATGGTTCCTGTAAGATTTAGGTTCCGAAAGAGTTCTTCCACGATCCAAAAGGCTCCGCAAATCGGAACTTAACCACCGATTGGCAACACTGCTATCGGGGCAAGTAGACGTTGCTTTATGTTGATCTTCCAAATGCTTTTGATAAGCTAGATCACCGTATTTTGTTAAAGAAATCAGCTGTGCGAGGGTTGACCCATCAATTCTTGAGATTCTTGAACTCTTTTCAGACAAACAGATACAGTTAAATACAGGGTCTTTACTTCCATTCAGACTATACCTTCTTCCGGCATACCTGAAGAGTCTGCTCTTGGCCCTTTGCTTCTTCAAAATTTCATTGATGACGTCGTTAAGGAGCTGCACAGTAGCTGTCTTTTCTTTGCAGATAAGTTGAAAATATTTTGTAAAGTTGAAACCATGGAAGACAGTCATACTTTGCAAATGACTCAAACAACTTAAATAAATTGCGTCATCGTAACAAGCTGTACCTTATCAACAGATAAGTGCTACACTATGTCTATTACACGAAATGCATAAATATTAGCTGATTATCGATATTGTCGAAAGCTCTATATCGATCGACCTTTAGTTCAAAGAATTATAAAAAAGTTATAATGATTTTTTTCCGTTTTGTGGTGATAATATTTTGTTTGTTTCAGTTTCTGGTTACCTTAATCCTGGTATTGGTCTTGCACGTATCGATATCTGTGATGGCATTCAAAACCAGATCACCCGAATTAAACCAGAAAGTAGAAAATGCCTTAGTGACAAATGAAGTGATTTTTACAGAAAATCACGTAAGCTCTTGAAACTGATGAACGCTGTACAAAGATACTACTATGTTTTTGTAAATATTGTATATATTGCGTATAGTATTAAGATGACATTGTAAATATTGCACCAGTATTGAATCACACTACCAGTATTCCAATAAACTAGGCTAAACTGTACGTATTAATCATGAAGTACGATAAGTAGCTCGTTGTTATTTGGTGCAAATCCTCCAATGACCCTTTCCACAATGTACAGGTTCTTGGAACATTTGTATAAGTATAGACAGAAACGCGATGTCTTGCTTAAACAATTCTATATTATACAGTTCAGCGACATGATTAAAAGAAAAATACTCGTTGCCTTAAAATTTTGCTGTCGCTTACATTCCGTGATCAAGAATGAATTGTAATTGATAGATATTTATTCAGTGGTTTTTACGCGAGAGGAAGAAAATGAATGATGCAAGTATTATCAAGTCGCATCCACATATTGGGCCAACGTAGACCAATACCAATGCGTTAACGTTAAGCCTCCTCTACACGTTGGCCAATCCGCTGGCCAACACGCTGGTCAACGCATTGGCAAGGACATTGGACTATCTGTCCACATGTTGGAACTGTTGGAAGGACGTTCAGTTTGTTTCGACGCAGGCCAGTATGAACAACATAGAGATCATGAGGATAGCACGATTCCAAATACAGTTTTTACAAAATTGAAAAGCTTCTTCGTTACTCATTGTCACCATTATGTACTATCAAATACACAATGAACTGTCACAAAATCTCTAAGCACCATAGAACAAAAGCACTCAAAAACACCCGTGCCCTTCAACGGCTGATCACATACTAGGCCGGTGAATCCCCAAGGTGTGGACGAGAATACCAGCGTCCGCCAGTTCCAAGGCCAACGCCTTTGATGCGTCTTGAAAAACCGACACCACGACCGATCGGTCGCCGACGCTTGGACCAGCTCTGCCAAGTGCGCCAATACGACCAATAGTATCCTCTACACGCTGGCCAATAAACATTGGCCAGCGTGTTGGCCAACGTGCAGAGGAGCCTTTAAACCAATGCACGTTGACAGAGGTTGGCCAACGCTAACGCTGAATGACTAGCATATCGTATTATATTGACGCCAACTCTTGAAATTAGACATGTTAATGTGCAAACCGCCGTGTCAGGTGTTTGCAACGAAGAATCTCAAAAATTATACTGGAGAGCATCAACGATTTTGGCTTTTGTCTCTAGTTGGTTTAAATGTAACTTTTATATAACTTACAGCGATGGATCAGCTGTTAAATCATCCATATTTATCATTTCTGTTTGTTTTATCAAGTTATATTAAGTTACAGTTAGACCGAGTGAAAGAAAACCGAAAGATGTTGGGACGCTATAGTTATGCTTCCTACTTTATATTATGCACCCTAAATATGTAATAAATTGTATGAAAACCGTGTTTATATTTCTTTTTGCAAAGCGCTTGAAAATGACCAAGCTGGGACATACGACGTAGGACACAACATACGTCTTGTCGTATGACACATGAATACCACGCAGCTAGGCTATGTTAGCATTTTTATAAAGTACTGCCTTTTTCACGAGTATCCATTACGGTAAAATAACAGCAGTAATACAAACAAACCGATAAATTATCTACTACGACAGATCAATTATAACCGATCGAAGTGTTCCTTGATCCGACATAGTAGATACTGAGAGACAAATAGAAGAGGGAAGCCTATATTATCGATGTTTTTATACACATACAACCTATTAAAAGCAATAATTGCAAAGAAGCGGAAGTACACAGACCTGGCAGATGAAGTGAAGAGGATGTGGAATGTAGGTGAACTCACAATAGTACCAATTGTACTGTCTGCTACGGCACGGGTATTACGTAGCTTGAAAAGTGACATTATGTCGATTTTTTTTGATATTATATTGGGGTTTTGTGACATTATGTAGGCTTTTCTACAAGATGTTAACATAGCACCAGCTGGTGGACACGTTTACTCATTTTGTAGTTGCACGTGCTGCCTAAACATCATGAGGCTTCAATTATCAATATTTGGCTCTGGTGTGATGTAAAATCTGGTTCAGAGATGGCATTACCGGAAGTTACGGCAATGCATATGTGCATAGTGAAGATTTCTGTGCTGATAATATGTGTTGATTCCATTGAATTATTGTCTCAAATACACTTAATTCAAATTCAAAGTCAGAAATTCAGCAAATTTGCATATGTAATTTCCAGAATGGATATGAAAAAGTAGATGCGCAACTAATTATATTTACTGTACACTGTCGAATTATAAGTCATATACATGCTAAAAGCAAAGTTTTTAAAAACAGAAAAAAAAACGTACTAAACCGTAATTTATGACTTTGAACATAACCTGTCTTCAGAAACGACAACGTATAAATAACCCGTCTGGCACAGCTGATAGACATACTTCATTGGCAGCACATTCAGTAATGATTTTTTCACACAGCACATAGTAAATATCACTGATTCTTACACATGCAAACTAATACACTTAATCATCCAGATGCGATCTTGCTATTCAACCAACTTTCTTCTCAGAGATGAAAACTATAGACTACTCGGCTTCACAAAATATATGCTACCAACAATGCGTGTAGTTGAGCTATTCCTCGATAGATGGATGCTCACAACGATCCTAGTCAGCAAACGTGGAATGACTGCACCCTCTATGGTCTAAAGGTAACTTGGAATAAAAAATTCACAAAATTTCAATTTTGTTTCAGTACCTACTTTATATGAATTTATACATAATACAGAGATTTCATCTTTCCATAAGCTTTCCTTACTAAATTTTCAAAATTACAGGTAAAAGATAATCTTGGGTACAACATCCAAATTTCTGCACTCTCAAAAATTAGTATATTTCCAAAAACCGGTTTTTGCCAATGTCTGTCAGTACTTAAAAGCATTGCATTACAGCTAAGGATCGATAACTTGTGTTGTAATAGAAAATAACAAACAGCTTATTCATACGCTAAAACATATGCCGTGCTCTACGTACAGTCAATCATGACATAAATAAACAAGACTGTCATTATCAATGATGGTATCATTGTCCCATATACACTTAGTGACGATAATGATGTGAGAAACAAGACACCATAGAGTGCTATCTATTATCAGAATCGTCCACTGCGAGAGTGAAAACAGCAGGTTGTCTTTCGGAACTGTGTCGCATTTAATAGTCGGGTCACCACTGTTGTGGCCGTCGGTTCTGGTGCTAGAAGCCTAGACCATCCTGAGGAGTTGGCGTATGGCACGAAACAGCTACACATAGTTGGCAGTCTGTGCTCGGACAAACCGAAGCTAAATTACTAGTTTTTTCAATGGCGAGTAGACCGTCATGGGTATCATGTAAAAAACCTATAAAACGTCAAAAAAAACCTATAAGATGTCATCCTGCACACTAGGTAGTTTTTAGGGCGCAAACAGTCATTACACGTTTGTTCACTAGGATCGTTGTGGACGTCCATCTAAGGAGGAATCGCTCAACTAAACTAAACGCATTACTGGTTGCATATGTTTTGTGAGGCCAAATGGTTCTTGTCTGTAGTTTTTATATCTGAGAAGGAAGTTGGTTGAATAGCAAGATCGCATCTGGATGATTATGTGTATCGGTTTGCATATGTATAAAATCAGTGATATTTGCTGTGTGAGAAAATCATTACTGAATATGTTGCCAATGAAGTATATCTGTTGGCTGTGCCCGACGGGTTATTTTTATGTTGTGCTTTCTGAAGAGAGGTTATGTTAAAAGTTATAAATTGCGAAAAACCGAGGAAAATTACGGGAAATCATCACCGCGCCCGCGTTATGTGTAATTACTGTTAGCATGTATGTACTCGTATATGGCTTGTAATTCGACAGTGTACAGTGAATATAATTACTTCTTATGCCTCTCATTTTTTAAATTCAGCAAATTTGTATATGTAATTTCCAGTAAGGATAAGAAAAAGTGGATGCGCAACTAATTTCTAGCTTTAAATCTTAATTAAGTGTATTTGCGACAAGAACCCAATGTAATTATCATCAACACATACTACTTACAGCTTAGACCTCCAGTAATATAGTAAGCTTCATGACGCTTAGGCAACACGTACAACTAAGTGCTAATATCTTGTAGAAAAACCTACATAATGTCAAAAAAAACAGCATATTGTCAAAAAAAAAATCGGCATAATGTCACTCTTCAAGATACGTGATACCCCTGCATATCTACTAAAGCACCAGAATCGACGGCACCTATCGGCCACAGTGGTGACTCGGCTGTTAAATGCGAACTGAGATGAAGTTCCAACAGACAGCATGTTGGATATACTGGATAGATGAAAGTTGCTTTGGTTTCATTCGTTGTTCCATATAAGACCATACTGAAGAGTTGCCAAATAGCACAAAACAATTGTCCAGGGTTGGCCATCTATATCTATAGGGTGTTTGAGTTTATTGTTGCATAACTTTAAGATTCGATAGAACTTTTAAAATTAATGCATAAAGTCTATATAAACATGGTCGAAAAATGCGTGGCTTCCGAAGTACAGGGTGTTTAAATTCACTTTCTAAAATAGTTTTTTTTTTAATATTTCGAACAATATTTGATGTATAACAGTGAAAATTGGTATACAAGGGTTTTTTGGTACGACAAAACGCACCATGGGCATAGTTTTACTGTAGCCGCTAGAGGACGCTCTCTACTGTACCTGTAGTGTATTAAAATGACCGAAAAATTTTTCTTAGTGCAATTTTTTGCTTTTTGAATAAAAAAACTGATTCTTCGCACTTTTCTGCATAAAAAAGCTCCCCTGTGAGTTTTCGTTATAGCCGGTTTTGAGATATTTCGATTTTAGGGTTCGATGCATTTTTAATTATTTATGGGAAAATAACGTTAAAAAGACAGTATCTCGATAATTTTTAGAAGTAGGCTGTGCCTGAAATTGAAAGCAGAATAAGGTTAAACGTCAATTAGCTGACAGTTAGTTTTGTTGTCTGTTGAAACCTGAAACGTTTTTTTGCAATTGTGAATGCACGAAATTTAGTTTCTTTTACCTGTTTTTTTTGTAAGTTTTATAAAAATGCCATTTCTATTCTCCAATCAAGAGTTTGCGGATATTCATTTTGTGTATGGCTTTGTAAATGGAAACGCAGCAGAAGCAGCCAGAGAATACGCACGAAGATTTCCAAACAGACGACATCCAACTCGCTCAGTATTTGTAAGAGTGCATCGCCAAATAATTGAAAATGGTTTTGGAAACCTCCAAAGGGATCAAAACATAAATATTCGTCAGCGCAGATTTACCCGTATGATTCTGCGTGAATTTGATAGAGATCCGACCACAAGTGTTAGGAGAGTTTCTGGTGCCTTGGGAATTTCAGCAAGCCATGTTCACCGTGTTCTTAGAAATGACCATAGACGTCCTTACCATTTGCAACCTGTGCAAGGACTACAGCCAGGGGACGGATAACGACGAATCACATTTTGTCAGTGGATTCTTGATAGAACTGATCATAATAGGGAGTTTTTAAGTAACGTTTTATGGACCGATGAGTCATGCTTCACTAGACGTGGAGTGGTAAATTTTCATAATCAACATATTTGGCCGCATGAAAACCCCCATGCAGTTCGGGAAAGAAATTTTCAGGATGAATTTAGTGTGAAAGTGTGGATTGGTATCTACCGTAATCGACTATTTGGACCCTATTTTTTGCCTGCAAGGTTAAATGCTGCGACCTTCTTGGAATTTTTAAAGGCTGAACATGCAAATATGTGGGATGATGTTATGTTTGATTTAAGAAGATTGGCCTGGTTCCAGCTTGTTGGTTGTCCAGCTCATTATTCGAGAATAGTTAGAAACTGGCTGGACGAAAATTATCCAGAAAGATGGATCGGCCGTGGAGGACCAGTCGCCTGGCCTCCACGATCCCCTGACCTAAATCCATTAGATTTCTTTGTGTGGGGATTTCTAAAAGAAAAAGTGTACCAGACTCCCGTAACCACAAGAGATATGCTAATAGACAGAATCAGGAATGCATGTGATGAAATAAGGCCTTATTTGAATAATGCTATACCACAATTGGGTTTACATTTCGAGCAACTACTTTAGATTTTGTACGTTTGTCCTAACTATCCAATAGCATTTTAGTTGTAAATAATTAATTTAATTTGTTAAAAATAATATTGGACAATTAAACAAATTAATATTCTGTTTTTTTGTGTTTATTTGGAGTTAGGAATTATTGCTGTATTTAAAACCACAATCTAAACAATCATTTTAATTACTTGTAATGCCCAAATCGAAAATATAAAAAAAATATTATTTTCCCATAAATAATTAAAAATGCATCGAACCTCAAAAATCGAAATATCTCAAAAACGGCTAACTATAACCACAACTCACAGGAGAGCTTTTTTATGCAGAAAAGTGCGAAGAATCAGTTTTTTTATTCAAATAGCAAAAAATTGAACTAAGAAACATTTTTCGGTTATTTTAATACTTTACAGGTACAGTAGAGAGCGCCCTCTAGCGGCTACAGTAAAACTATGCCCATGGTTCGTTTTGTCGTACCAAAAAGTCCTTGTATACCAATTTTCACTGTTATGTATCAAATATTGTTCGAAATATTTAAAAAAAACTATTTTGAAAAGTAAATTTAAACATCCTGTATTTCGGAAGCCACGCATTTTTCGACCCATGTTTATATAGACTTTATGAATTAATTTTAAAAGTTCTGTCGAATCTTAAAGTTATGCAACAATAAACTGAAACACCCTGTATAACGAAAGCTATATTACTAGTTTAATAGTGTGTGCGTTGCATGAAGATCTGTACATACCATCAAGCTTGAGCAGCTTAATCCGGCTTTGAGCATGATGAGCGTTTGAACAGTTTTGCATTCCTAATGAATTTCAGTACAAGTGTTGCGGGTTGCGTGGAGACGAGATCGAATGCATCGAAAAAAAGATCAAGTTAGGATGTGCTCAAGAAATCATCGCAGCTTTAGACCAAGTTTTCTCACAAATAGGACACGCTACAGCATATATTGCGTCTTTTCAGGTAATCGGGTGAGCAATTGTTGATATTATTCTGATTCTGTCATTTTGCAGGGTATTATAACAGCATGTGTGAGTGCAATCTTTTATATAATACTTTTCAATACCCGTTGCGTATAAAAATGGAAGATGTGTAATAAATACTGCAAAATTCGTTCCTTCGATTCATTTATTTCCATTTATAAGCTCTATTCGTGATACTATTTTCCCCGCTATCACTTTGATGTACCAAATCCTCATCGATCAGAAGTTCAAAATCGCCGAGAGCTTGAGGTAATGGTACTTTGTTCCACCTTACATCAGGTATACCTGTAAGTCAAAATATCACATTACTCCTGTCAGACAACTCGTCGTTCATATCACAAAGTGGCGTATCTAATTTTTTTCAATTTTACAGGAGAGCGTTTCAAATATTTTCACGAGATTTGAGTTGTTCCTGACAAAAATGTATTATACAGGGTGACAGGTAAATAGGTGTAAAACATTTTAGGAGGTGATAGTACAGCCCCTTTGCTATCGAAATTAGTATATAATACCATACCCTATATTCAAAGGTTGAAGAGTTATTGAAGATTTAAGATGTTTTTAAAAACAATGCATATTTCAGAGTAAAAAAGTCGAGAGAGAAAAAAGTTGGCGATTAAACATTTGTTTTTTGTGGTTTTGGGTTATTATTTCAATAATTAACTATAACTTACACAGTTGTAATTGTACTACAGAATAATAAAAACTGACTAAAAGTTACTACAATTGGTAAGTAAAATACAATAATGAAATGAAGGAAAAATTCATTGCAATTGTTGTTCGAACTGACGCCCGCCGTTTCTTATGCAAGCCTGTAGTCCTTTTCTCATGTTGGTACGCGTGATGCGGCCAGTTAGTTGTCCTCTGATAGTGTCAGCAGCAGCAATAATTCTTTCTTTCAACTGTGCAAGAGTGCCTATTGGCTCAGCGTAGACCAGTGACTTCATGTGCCCCCATAAATAATAGTCACACGGTGTTAAATCTGGGCTCCTCCCTGGCCACGGTGTCGGTCCACCTCGGCCAATCCAGCGACAAGGATATTTCTCGTCCAGCCGCTGTCTAACATCCAGACGGAAATGCGCGGGACAGCCATCGTGTTGGTAGATCATCTGCATCCTGATATTCAGAGGCAGGTCTTCGAGATACTCCCAGAGTTCGGATCTCAAAAAGTTTTCATAGGATTCGCCATTCAGGTTGTCAGGCAAAAAAACAGGTCCAATTAGATACGTATGAATGATTCCCATCCACACGTTTGCCGAAAATCTTCTTTCATGGGCTCTTGGCTTTGCCATGTGGGGATTTGCCTCTCGTGTGGCCCAATAATGTAAGTTGTGATAATTTGTTGTCCCCTCTCTGTCAAACTTAGACTCGTCGGTCCACAATATTTTAGTTAAATAGTCGTTTTCTTCTTGATCCCGATGAAGCATGTATCGACAAAAATCAATTCTTTTTGCGGGATCTCCTTCTTCTAATACTTCAACCGGTGTGTAATGGAAAGGGTAAAGTCTCGCCGAAAGCAAAACGAAGCAAACTTTCCACTGAGTTAAACCAAGCTGCTTTGCTATAACTCGTGTAGACCTCGTCGTGTCTCTGCCGTAGCATTCCAGTATTGCCTCGATCTTCGTCGTCAAACAACCGAGGTCTACCAGCATCATGACGTCTCTCATGAACCTGTCCACTTTCCTTGACGCGTTGGTACACAGAAAATACTCGATGACTCGGTATTCGCCTATTCGGAAAACGGTTTTCGTATTCTCGCCTGGCTTCAACGGAATTTCCATCACTTAAACCATAACAAAACGGAATATCAGCGTATTCTTCGTTACGGTAACTCGCCATTATTAAAAGTGATCCAAAAAGTAAAGTACGTCCTACCGCGTTAAAGGTTGATATTGTACTAACTAACCTAAGCGTTAGTTCCCTTTCCTTGATCCGTCAGCTGTGTCAATACATAACACACGCAGAGCTTGCTTCCGAGGAGCGACGGCAGATTCCAAATACTTAAACCCGAATAACGGCATAGGGCACAAAAAATAACAAAAAGGGTCGAAACATGAAAGGCTCGGTTTACCTGCTCAGTACAATGAAATGCGCTTAGCGGTCCTTTCTAGCAAAGTAATATTGTTTTGTTAAATGGTTTACTTACTGATATGTTATTATACCATTTTAGAAACCTAATGAAACGAGGAAGTTTTTGCAGTTATTTGTACATTTTCTTTATTATGATTTTTTTGAAAAAGACTTCTTAATGTGACAGTTGAAAATAAAAATTTTCATTTAACATTTAGATGAAAATAAATACGTTTCAGTAGTGTTTTCATATGTTTTTTAATTTATGAGAATTATTTATTTAAATAATAACCTGAAACCACCAAAAAAATAATGTTTAATCACCAACTTTTTTTTATCTCAACTATTTTACTCTGTAATCTGGGTTGTTTTTTAAAAAAATTAAATCTTCCATAACTTTTTAACCTTTGAATATAGGGTATGGTATTATATACTAATTTTGATAGCAAAGGAGCTGTACTATCACCTCCTAAAATGTTTTACACCTATTTATCTGTCACCCTGTATATAATTGAATTTGTAGGTATATTTGCTCAGGTTTACAAGCTTTTCAAAAATGAGCAACGGTGGAGCCGTTTCTCATTTTATGTGTTCAAAATTTCAAAAAAAAGTAGGGTCGTAATTCATAGAATAAAGACTTAGTTACGTCCGTGTTATATTAAAGTGATGAAAAATAAAAACACATGAAATTTAAAAAAAATGTTTTATCAAAAGTCAAAATGATTACAAAAAGGGGATTAGTGAATATTGGCGAAATAATTATCCCCAGTATCTAAAACTATGTAACTCCCTAAAAAAGTAAATATGGCACCACAAACAAAAGATTAACTCAAATAATGATATTTTAATATCTGTTAAAGATGAACAAAATAATAATTAGTATTTCATCTATTACTCATGAGGAAGATTTAAATAGAATCTTTGGTATTCTGGTAAACGAACTACCGGTATATCTCCTTCAATTTCAATTTCAAATCCATATATTTTTTGCAGTAATTTTTCTTGGCTCTGCATTCAGAACTTCGAGGGGAATATCTTTTCGATTAAGTCTTTGTTTTTTAATCTAAAAAAGCTGTATTCGTGTTGCAGGTGACTAGTTTTGTAAAATATTGTTAGCGGCTCATGTTTATTAAATTTATTTCCATAAAATCGGGCCGTTTTATAGGCTCCCCTGAGGTTCTTATAGACAAAATTCTCAACTCTTGGTACATTTATTAAAATCTTAAAAGTCGTTGGCCTGAATTCATGCGCAATGTACGGCTGATTACGTCTTGCCAAGCGAATAACTGGAGGAAGTTGTTTCTGAAAAACCCTGTAGTTTAGCTGTAGCCTCGTTCAAATTTATAGTAAATTCGAGGGATGTCTTTTAAGTTTTGCATATGGAAATAAGACAACGCGGTAGGTAGTTTTAAATGACTTTATTGTTTTTCGAAGTATTCTCCACGAAGATTAATACACATCTGCATGCGCTTGAACCAATTTTCTAAGCACTTATTCCACTCGTTTGCTGGCAGATCCAAAACGGCATATTTCAATGCGTCAACTGCTTCTTCTGGTGACTGGAACCTTTGACCACGCAGTCTGTTTTTAATTTTCGGGAAAGTAAAGACATCGTTAGGACTTAGATCGGGACTATATGGAGGATGGTCCAATAATTCCACGTTTTCTTCCGTTAAATACTGCCTTGTTCTTTGGGCTGTGTGCGAGCTTGCATTGTCTTGGTGGAGGATGATTCTTCTTTCAGGGTTGATTTTTCGAAGCTCGGTGATGACTTTTGGCAAACAAATGGTGGTATAAGAAGTCCGCAGTAATAGTTCTTTGCTCATTAGGAGGAATTGTGGCAATATGACCCGCTTTTGACACAAACACCACTAACAATGCTGTACACATTTTTTGAGTTTCCGGAATTGAAACGGTCAAGCGTTTTTTGACACCAATTAACACTGGCTGCTTTCTGCTCTTCAGTCAACAGGTGGGGTATCCAACGAGAAACTAATTTTGTTACTCCTAATTCTTCATGTAAAATTTGTTGAATGGAGGTCTTTGAGATATTCAAGGACGCCTCAATCTTGCGCACAGCATCGACGTTTTCCTGGGTGACTGCCGTTTTTGGTGCACCCACCCTGGAGTCGTCGCTAAGATGTCCACGTTTGAATTCTCCATACCAACGGGAAATTGTCGATAGATGTGGCGCTTGGTTGCCGAAAACAGACAGTAACTCAGCAAGGCTTTCCTGTTGCCATAATCGTCTTTGAAAGTTGTAATAAATTATGGCGCGAAATTGTTCTCGGTTGATTTCCATTTTTCTAATGACTTGGTGACACTTAAAAATTCACTGTAGTGAGAACACTGCACGTATTGTTGTGAAACTTTGAATTTAAGTTTACTAAAGAGTGAGGTTAAGATTCAGTACTGACGTTCGATCCGCGCGGCCTACTATGTTTCTATATGCAAAAGTTAAAAGACATCCCTCGAAGTTGCTATAACTACTCATATCAGTTTTGTCTTTCATGAAAAGGAGCTCAGGAATGCCCAGGTACTGTTTGCACCATAAACCAACTCGACGACAGCTTGACTTCAACCCGTACCAACATTGTGTGAAATAATCACCATCATAGCGACTTGATCGCCAGACTTGTTACTTGTATGAACGCCACCTATGGAGGAATGACTCATCGACAATCCTCGATGGATGTTAAGTTTTGTTAGTTTGGTTCATATGAAAAATCCAGATGAATTGATATTATTATTTTTCGTTATTCAGAAAGTGCCTGAAAAATCCTACAAAATAGTTAAAGCCTCATGTCGCTATCTTGGTAAATGGTATAGTTTGCGAATATTTTAGTTGCATATGTTCAGAATAGTTCGGCCTGAATATGTGAAAAAGGCGTCAAGTAGGTTGACTCATCTCCTCTCACGCAACGCCCTTATCAGTACACGAAGAAATCATGTTCAGCATAAACTAGACCCCTCTGAGGAAGAAGTCAGTCAAACAGTTCCATACAATTGGTACATATATACCTTTTCCCTGCGCTACCGGCAGTGCATCTGGAAACGTCACCGATACCTATCTCGGCCAGACGTGGCAACGTGGTAGCTTGGTCAAAGCATAGAAAACACTATGCTGTTGCGTGTGATTCCATACCAGAATACTTCCCTGACAGTAGGCATCAGAAGTAACAACAATAATAGTAGAAACAACTGCAAACGTCACCGATACCTATCTCGGCCAGACGTGGCAACATGGTAGTTTGGTTAAAGCATGGAAAACACTATGCTGTTGCGTGTGATTCCATACCAGTATACTTCCCTGACAGTAGGCATGAGAAGTAAAAACAATAATAGTAGAAACAACCATGATTTTAATGCTAAATTTATTAAATAGTCAAAAACTTGTATCACATCTTTCTATACAATTTTGATAACTTGAAGATACGGAAATATCTTATTTTGTAATCAGGAAATTAAATCAGAAAAGTCTATTTCATTCGAATTGGATGAGCAATCAAAAAACTAATTCCACACGCGGTTTCCAGTTCTTTCTTTATCTTTGATCCAGTTAGCATGAAAAGTAATATAATTGGTTTTGAATATTTCTTTCTCCACTGATGAACTTCTTTGAAATTGGGTGGGGGCTTATCGTTATGTTTTCTAAGGTCCGATTTTGCATTGATTCTAACTTCCATTGAAGAAAGCCCTTATCTTAATCCATCGCGTTCGAGCATTTTTTGGTCGATTTTTCACTGTTTTGATCGGCTGCCCCAGACGTACCTCCTGTATAAAGGGCTTATATATGGTCGAGATACTTAACAGGATGTAAGGTATTCCTCCTTATTTCAATTGGCTGGGCTCGACTAAGTCCAAAAATCCCCTCCACCATAATAATTTATTGAGGATACAATCGGAAACGTCACAATCGCATACGAGTCGTAATCGAATTGAAGTCGAGATGCTTGTAGTGAGAGCAGTTCCTACTATATTTTAGGGCACCTTTATGGCCTCCTTGATTTTCATAGTTTTTTCCTACCCTTCAGAAAGGCAGGAGTACTTCGAGATTTCTACTGTGTAAGCGCACTATTTTGAGGTTATATTTTCGTTTTGGATTCTAAGATAAAACTTGCTGAAAGATCGGGGTACAAGAGGAGGTGGTCTGTTATGTTAAGGAATGTTACACTTTCGACTTAATAGATACAAGTGATTTATTTAGTGAACAGCTTTGGTTAAAAATTGTAATCAACGAAAAATCGTACGGTTTTGGTTTAATATACAGGCCTCCGAATATGTATGTTAATAGTTTTCTAGATGAATTTGAATGTGTTTTGAGTACGATTTATCCAATAGTTGATGAAGTCATATGCACTGGAGATTTTAATATTAACCTGATAAACGTCGATCAAGCACATTTGGTAAGATTTTATTCTGTTCTAGACTCTTTCTCGATTAAGCAAATGATAGACTGTCCAACTAGAATCTCTGGTGCATGTGCAACTTTATTGGATCTTATCATTTCTGGCGATGAGGTTGTATTTGATACAGGTGTCATGGATAGTGGTGGTATGTCGAATCATTTTATAATTTTTGGTAAGGTAAATGTTAGTGAAGTAAGAAATAAACTATTACTATTCGCCGCTCATATAAGAACTTTAATGAAGACAGTTTTTGCAGGGATCTATTTGCAACCCCGTTTTTCATGCTATTTGACCAAGATAGCGCCGACTCTAAAGTTGCGTTTCTTACATACCTGCTTACAAACCTTTTTGATAGGCATTTTCCTTTGGTATCAATGAGAGTTACTAAACCTAGAGCCCCATGGCTTACAGATGTGGTGAAGCGAATGCAGAATCTCAGGGACAGGGCGCTGCTTAGATTTAGAAGAACAGGACTGAATGCTCATTTGCGATATTATCAGGATTTGCGTAATTTAGTTAATGCTGCTATCATCAGAGAAAAAAAATCTTATTATACATACATATTAGAAAGTTGCAGTTCAACAGAAATGTGGAAAAGGTTAAGGAACAATGGAATAGTCTCTCAAAAGGATAACACCATTCCAAATTCCTTTAATGATGTCAATGAACTTAATAATTTTTTTGTTAACAGTATACCTAATATACAGCCTTCTCCTAACTTAATAAATTTCTACAGAAATACTAGGAGGAATTCTTCAAATTTTGAATTCAAAGAAGTTAATGATTTATTTGTTTATGAAGCAATTTGCCGTATTAAAACTAATGCTCGTGGTTGCGATGGTTTTAATTTAAATTTTATTAAACTATGTTGCCCTCATATTATTCCTTATTTAACTCATATAATTAATTTTTGTTTTACGCATAATCAGTTCCCTGATCTGTGGAAGCAAGCAAATGTCTGTGTTCTGGCAGAAAAACCTAATCCTTCAGATCTTAAAGATCTCAGAGGGATTAGTGTTTTACCATTTTTCTCTAAATTACTTGAGCGTGCAATGGAGGACCAACTTTCTTATCATTTGTCACAATTTTCATTACTGCCAATTGTACAGTCTGGATTTAGGAAAAATCATAGCTGTACGGCGTCTTTACTTCATGTAACAGACGACATAATTAGAGCTACAGATCGTGGCGAGTGTACTGTTCTTGTTCTACTGGATTTCAGCAGAGCGTTTGACACTTTAAACCATCAATTAATGCTTGCTATTTTACATCATATTGGTCTTTCTCAAAACGCTATAGATTTATTTCAGTGCTACTTCACTAAGCGGAAACAAACAGTTGTTTTAAATGGAGTTCAGTCTTTATCTTTAAATTTGAAATCCGGCGTACCCCAAGGGTCCATACTTGGACCACTCCTATTTCTAATTTATACATCTAATTTCATGCACTTCCTCACTCTATGTAATGTGCATTTTTACGCTGATGACACCCAAATCTATTGCAGCTTCCCCCCACAATTGATGGATCGTTTCTCGTTGATCATTAATAATGAGCTAAACTCCTTTGTAGAATGTGCCACACGCCACTGTCTTTTAATAAATCCATCAAAGTCTCATGTAATTGTTTTTGGACCTAGACAAAATAAAAATGTTATAGAGAATCTTATTAAAATTGAGATAAATGGTGTAACTCTCAAAATAATGGACAATGTAAAAAATTTAGGTGTTGTGATTGATAGTAACCTTCGATTTGAGTATCACATCAACAAAATTATGCAGAGAGCATATTTGTCGTTGAAATTTATTTACGGTAGCCGGAAATTTCTCTCGTTCAAACTTAAGATCATGCTATGTGATACTTTAGTATTATCTTTATTCAACTACGCTGATGTGCTTTACGGCCCACACTTAACTAACCTGTATCGACGTAAAGTTCAACTGGTTCAAAACTTGCGCCTTGCATTTGGTATACAGAGGAGACATAGAATATCTCACAAATTGAAAGATGCAGGTTGGTTAAATATGGAAAATCGTAGGCTCCTCCACTCTGCTGTTTTTTATCATAAATTAATTTTAGTCAGAACACTCCAATATCTTTATCAAAAAATAACCTACCGGACTGACGTTCATAACATTAACGTATGAAGTAAGGGTCTTATTTCGCCACCCAAGTATAGAACGTCAATCTTCAAACGGAGCTTCACATACCAAATATATAAAGTCTACAACTCAGTCCGGAAGGAACTAAAATTTTCTAGAATAGATAACTTCAAAGCCATGTTTAAAAAGGAACTGCTGCAAAAACAGTAGCACCGCATGAATGAATGAATGATTGTTTTTTTTTTGTTAGCGTGTAGGTATGTCCCTCTTTTATAGTGACATGTATGTATTATCGGTTTATCGGATGTCATATGTCGTAGAGGATACTGGGCTAAGTGGAAGAGCAGGTTGTTGGTACTGTGTACTAATCAAACTGAACTTCGCCTTTTATTGACACTGGATGTACTTATGTTCACTTACCATTTTGTCAATGTCTTATGTCAATAATAAAGACGTTATTATTATTATTATTATTATTTTTATCATCTGTTCAAAAAGAAAACACATCCTCACAATAGGGGAGCGCTGTCGCTGACTCGGAACAGTAGAAATTTAGAAACGCCCCAGCCTTTCTGAAGGAAAATCAAGGAGGCCATGAAGGCGTCCTACAATTCTAGAAACGACTGACGATACGGCCCTTAGTCCTCATTCCATTTTCTTCGAAGCCTAAGAAACATTGTAGCTTATTCTTTTTCCAAATAATCGAGACTCTTTACCTGTAGGAGGTACGACTATATTGAAGATATTATCCAATAGTTTATGCTTCAAAATCCTATCATTAGCTGTTGTCGAAGTCAACGATGGCGAAGCATTGACTTCTATTAACCATGGCTTCAGCTTGTTGTCTATGATAATGTCGTAGCCGTAGCACTCAAAACAGTGCCTGTCAGTTGCTATGACAGGTGCAATCGCCTTCAATGAGTGGATTATCAGCCAACTGATTTGGTCGAAAAGCTTCTCAGTAACTTGTTTGCCTCTTGTACTTTCCAAATGTAACCTGTAAAGGATACGTTGCATAACATTAGTGAGTACATACCAGGAAGGACTGAGAATTAAAGTTAGACAGAGAGAGAGAAACACGCAACAACTAGGATTCGTAGGAAAGTTTGGTCATTGAGCCACGGTGACCCTTCACGTAGTGTCAGACTGAGTGCTCTATTGGTTTTCCACAGCGTTGCTGCAAACAGTATTCGATTTTACCCAAAAATGATAAAAAATCACAGAGTTAACTTCGTTTTTAGAGATAATAATAATAGCTTTATTGTCCAACAGTTTCCCATTTATAGGGATGTATGAACATCTTAAAAGAGCGAAAAAAAAACTGACGTAAAATAGATGATAAAGGATAACAAACAAAATTCGTGAATATCCGTGGTACTCGTTCAATGGCAGTGTTTTTTTATACTCCAACTACCACGAAGGCCTAAGGCCTAAACACCCACGGGGTCCCGTGGGGCTATAGGGGGATATAGGGGAAAGGGCGAACGCCACACGGACTCCGGCGAGGGAACACGTGTGCATGCAAGATGCACACATTCTGGCCCCGCCTACGACATCCGCCGGGTGGTACCTCCGCGTTCAACAGTCAGAGGCCGTCTACCACCTACGGACAATCACAACATCCATAGCCGGATTCGAACCCGCACAGCGCACGGCGACTGATCAGGAGACCGAAGAGTCTACTACTGCGGCCACAGCTGCTGCCTATAGCATTTATGGTATAGTAAGGACTTCAAGTTAACTACAATATGCTACTCTCTATCTAACGTGTTAATAATAATATAGCATATGATGGATTTTATGTTATACTAAGTGACATATAAATCCGAACACCCAGTTCAAATGGTTTTATTTTAATAAAATTTCGTATAAGTACTTAATGAAGCATAATAAGTAAATGATAAACATTTCAAAATGATTGCACTGCTTTAAAGCCCTTTGACCTTTAATAATGTGTAGATGCACCCTGATGTGCTACGCATTCTCCAACGCGCCTAGGCATGCTTCTGATCAGGTGGTCAATGTCCTCCTGTGGTATCTCATTCCAGGCAACCACCAACTCCTCTCGAAGTGCTTCTAGAGTCTGAGGAGGACGTTGCAAATTGAGCAATCTCCTACCCATCATATGGTGACCTGGAACCATAAGCTATAGCACCCCAAACCATAACTCCAACAGTGTGATGAACATGTCTTTCAACAAAAAACTGTGGATTCCTCCTGTCACCACGTCGCCTTCTAACCCTGGCACGACCATCGTGCATGCCTAAACAAAATCGAGACTCGTCACTAAAGACAATAAATATGATATAAAATAAAAATGATTCTTTACTGCAGCTGAAATATTCATTTTTAGAGCGTTGGTGAATTAAAAAAAAGCAGTATAAAAACCGGAATGTCCAACTGATAAGGCTGAAAATTTTAAATTGGGTGTTCGGATTTATATGTCACTTAGTATATTAAAATTTCTACAGTTCCTTACTATGAAGATACGTGCCATCAATGTCCGCGACATTTTTTTAATTATACGCTTTCTGAAAGTTAACTATTGATCAAATATTATACCTATTATCTCGTAGATAAGACCATTTTTCTAACACATACCCATCAGTAGAATACAGATACTCACAAACAACCTTTCTCCATGTATAACTGACTATCTTACACTTTTTTACATTAAGCTGTAGCTTGTTATTAACACACCAAGACTGTACAATGCTTGATAGAAATCTTTATCCTTAAATAAATATTCAAATCACGAGCAAAGCACAGGCGTTCACATTCTATTGATTTGCATAGCTCGTTTATAACAATAAAAAATAATGATGGCCCTAAATTAGAGCCCTGAGGGACTCCAGAAAGTATTATTATTGACTAAATAAGACTTCATCAACTCCCTAGCGTCATTTGAGAAACAAAACATGCCTAGCTTATCTGGTAAGGTTTCATGGTTGATCTTATCGAAGGCCTTCGCAAAAACTGTATAAATAACGCCAAATTGTTCATTATTATCAATCACCTCTGAGATGTACTGCATTATGATAGAGATGCCGCTAATGGATGACGGCGAAACTCCCATACTTTTCCTTCTACTAAAACCCAGGGAGTCACCGTGTCTACTAGTTGTTCCTTGTTTTCGAAAATTGACTACTGGATATCAATTGACTTACCTCAAATTTTGAACGCTAAGCTTTCCTCCATGGAGTGAGTTATATTCTCCACCGTGCTTCTGTACGGACACATTTGTCAGATGAACATACATGTTGTCTAATTCAGCAACACTGGAGTCATACTTCACTGTACAGAATCTGCAGAAGCCTAGACGGAACTGGTAAGCCTTCAGAGGTCTGAACGAAGTGACCAAGACGTATAGCCTACAAAGAAACAACATTAGGAAAGGTGATTTGCATCCAAGTTTATTTTCTTTCGTTTATTCGTCCTTGAAAAACTGATATGCAATGTAAAAACTGCAAGTGGATCCGTAGAAAAAGCTAATATAATTTATACATGTATCTCTATAATTTGTATATACAGAGTGCCTTTTGGGACTTTTCTTTACATAGCGTATAGTTCTTGCAAAATAAGCAAATTCTTAAAATCACTGAGGTAACAAGCGCCGACAAAATCAAATCTGGATCTGCTTCCAGTAAAATACTAGGTATAAGGATACAAAATCGTTCGTTTATTATTCAACCCAGGCACCGTGTTCTTTGTTGGTCAGTATAAATATAATATAAATATATAATATAAATATATAAATATAAATCTGAAAAAAACCGAAAATGATTCGTGGTCGTTTCCATCACGTGTTGCGTGTTTCATTTATTTCGTACAAAAGCAGTTTCTAGGAAAATTGAATTGGTCAGAGTAGACGACCTGGACAACCCCTGTTGTTGAGGAATTATTCAACAAAATTGTGTCTTTGTGCTTGACGTTTCTGATCAAATAAGTACTTTCCTTAAAATTTTTTAGTTTTCAATGGTGTTCTACAGCACATAGGCTTTATTATCTCAAACGCAGCTGTATCTAAAAATGAACACCCCAAGCTTCAGTGACCCTGTACATGTTTACAGTGGTTTTTTAAATCTAATAAAAATCCAAATGAGAATCTCTCAAAAATATTCTAAATGATTGTTTCAATATAATTGGAGAGAAATTATTATTGTTGGTGAATCATTGTTTAGTACATGGTGAATTCCCATCAAAATTAAAGTATTCCACCATTACTCCTGTGCCAAAAGTTCAAAATTCTCAGCTGTATACAAATATGCGACCGATTAATGTCTTGCCCCATGTCGAGAAGCTGTTAGAAGGGATAATATACGAACAAATCATAGAATTCATTGAAGAAACCAACATTTTGATAAAAAATCAAGCTGGATTGAGAAAAAAATGTTCCACAGAAACGGCAATCCAAATGGTGGTGGAAGACTGTAATAATATTTTTAGACTTCAAAAGGGCATTTGAAACCATAGATAGGGAAACATTGTTAATGAAATTGCGTCACTATGGCTTTAAAGGATCAGTATTACACATTTTAAAAAATTATTTAGTAAATAGAAGTGATAAAACTAATGTTGGAAATATTATGACAAGTGTTCAAGATAAATCAGTAGGGGTGCCACAGGGGAGTAAATTAGTGCCGCTACTATTTATTATTTATATAAATGATATCTCTGACATTTTAGAACACTGCAAAATTCAAATATTTGCGGACGATACACACATATATATATATATATATATATATATATAGCACCTGGACACTGCTTTAGAACTGTTAAATAGTGATATTAAAAAAATTATGAAGTGGTTAAATGTCAATAAACTCAAATTAAACACTAATAAAATAAAATGTATGTCAATAGGGAAACATTTAGGAGACAATGCAATTAGGCTCATGATTAATGATGAAAAAATTGAAGTAGTCGATTCATTTAAATATCTTGGTATACAGGGTTATCCAAATTAAGTGTCCACCATTGGTAACTTTGTTATTAGTAAAAATACAAAGTTGTTTAAATTAGCAAACTAGTAGCATTTTTAACGCTGGTAAAAATGAGAAATAAAAAAAAACAATTGAGAGTCGTTATTTTGATTTTTTTCAGTAAAATAACATTTTTTTAAATGGAAACCCCTGTATATTATATTTTTTTCTGTTAAAGCATCAAATTTTAAACAAAAAAGTTCATAATGACTTTTCCGCTAAAGTCAAAAATAAAGTCAAAATAACGATAAATATTTTTAATTATTTGCAGTATTATAATATTAAGACGGCTATGAAAACAACATGGCGTTCGCGATTTGACAGCATTAAGATAAGCGACAAATTGTTAAACTGGACATACTCGCAACTAGAAGGCTTTGGAAAACAATGATAAAATCAAATAATGTCAAACATTAGTGTAAATACTTGTTTATAAGCTTTATTGTGTCATTAATTTAAAGAAAAATGTTCTCCCATGAAGAAAAGTGTGATATGTTAGAATGCTATTTAGTGTGCAGAAAATCCTCCTTGAGAGCAAGAGAATACTACAGTGAATTATATCCCGCTCGCATTCAACCGTATGAACGATATTTTCTGAGACTTTATCGAAAATTTAGGGGCAACGAAAATGTTTTTGCTAAAACAAGGGCAAAAAAAGAATTCATAATAAGCGAGGCCACGGAAATTGCAGTTATTGGATATTTTGAAGCTTATCGTGAGAATTCAATAGCAGATATTCTCAAGGACTCTCATTTCAGTTATGGTACTGTTCAAAGGATTTTAAAAAAATACAAATTTATTCCGTATAAGTACCGACCAGTTCAAACGCTTTTGGCAGGGGATCCAGAGAGAAGACTTGTTTTTTGCCATTGGTATCTTAGCTTCTGTCGCCAAAATGTAAATAACTTTCGTTACCTTTTATGGACAGATGAATAAAATTTTTCAAATTCTGGAATGTTTAATAGAAAAAACCACCATTATTGGTCAAGAGAAAATCTTTTGTTAGTACATCCAAGAGGCCCACAAGTCCGTTTCAGTTTCAACGTTTGGTGCGGTATAATTGGTTCAAAAATTGTTGGCCCGTTCTTTTATGAGGGAACCCTAACTGGTGAAAGATATGTGGAATTTATGTCAGAAATTCTGACTAATTTCTTAGACGAATTGGATCTTATAAGTAGACATCATCTGCATTTTCAGCAAGATGGCGCACCTGCCCACAACTCCAGAGGTACTTATCATTTTCTAAGTACTACTTTTAATGATCAGTGGATAGGAACAAATGGCCCAATACAGTGGCCTCCCAGATCACCAGATCTAAACCCACTTGATTACTTCTTGTGGGGTTACTTAAAGAACCAAATTTACAAGCGAAGGTACGATAACCTTGACGCGTTAAAGTCTGCAGTTAGGGAAAAGATAACCCAGATAGATGGTAGGACCATACTTAAGACAGTTCGAGCAGTTGAAAAACGTGCCCAAAAATGTATTGAAAAACAAGGTGGTGTTTTCGAGCATCTTCTTTAAAAAAAATTGTTATTGTATTTTGTAAGATTATAAGTTGATGTTGAAAATAAAGTTTGTCGATACAATTTAATTGTTTCAGATTGGAGGCCATAACTTCAACAATTTGTAACCTAGGAGAAAAGTTATTGTAAGCTTTTTTGTTTAAAATTTGATGCTTTAACAGAAAAAAATATAATATACAGGGGTTTCCATTTAAAAAAATGTTATTTTACTGAAAAAAATCAAAATAACGACTCTCAATTGTTTTTTTTTATTTCTCATTTTTACCAGCGTTAAAAATGCTACTAGTTTGCTAATTCAAACAACTTTGTATTTTCACTAATAACAAAGTTACTAATGGTGGACACTTAATTTGGATAACCCTGTATACGTATATACTAAGTGACACCCAGTTTAAATGGTTATATTTTAATAAAATTTTGTATAAGTACTTAATGAAGCATAATAAGTAAATGATAAAAATTTCAAAATGATTGCAATGCTTTAAAGCCCTTTGACCTTTAATAATGTGTGGATGCACCCTGATGTGCTACGCATTCTCCAACGCGCCTAGGCATGCTTCTGATCAGGTGGTCAATGTCCTCCTGTGGTATCTCATTCCAGGCAACCACCAACTCCTCTCGAAGTGCTTCTAGAGTCTGAGGAGGACGTTGCAAATTGAGCAATCTCCTACCCATCATATCCCACACGTGCTCAATTGGGGACAAGTCGGGAGATCTTGGTGGCCATGGTAACAATGTGACATCATTATGTTGAAAGAAGTCTATTGTGACTCTTGCAACATGTGGTCGGGCATTATCTTGTTGGAAAGTTGGGTCTGCCAGGGTGTCAAGATAGGGTAAAAGATGGGGTTCTAGAATTTCGTGGATATAACGCTGCGCGTTCATGTTACCTCTGATGAAGATTAAAGGTGACCTGGAACCATAAGCTATAGCACTCCAAACCATAACTCCAACAGTGTGATGAACATGTCTTTCAACAAAAAACTGTGGATTCCTCCTTTCACCACGTCGCCCGTATGAAAACAAGCCAAAACTTCTCATTCGTCGGTAAACACTTCGCATGCCAATAGGTCTTCCGTGTTCTGCAAACCATTCATTTGCAATGGACCTGGTAGTGGAGAAACGGTCCCTTAAGGCCAATAATCTTAGGTGGCGATCTTCACGGTCTATTGTTCTACGGCGGCGTCCAGTGCCCCTTGCTCTTTGCGTACGGCCTTCTCGAAGCCATGCCTGACAACACCTAACCACAGTGTCTACACTTCTTTGCACTCTAACTGCAATTGACCGAAAAGAAAGTCCAGCTTCCCGAAGTCCCACTATACGGCCCCTATCAAACTCACTAAGTTGACGAAATCGTACAGGTCTCCGTACTCTAGGCATCGTAACCGATCATAAAGGATGTCAAGAACCAAAATCCGCCAACGTTGATTCTTTACTGCGGTTGAGATATTCATTTTTAGAGCGTTAGTGAATAAAAGAAAGCAGTATAAAAACCGGAATGTCCAACTGATAAGGCTGAACATTTTTTCACTTGTTATTTACAGTAAGATAAATACATTCACCAACTTTTATTAAAATAAAACCATTTAAACTGGGTGTTCGGATTTATATGTCACTTAGTATATGTGGCTAATAAGCTACTGTTTCACGAACATTATGAATACATAATTTCAAAGATATCGAAAAAGATAAGTTACTTCTATGGAGTTTCCCACAATCTTAGTATGTATTCCAAAAAAATTGTGTATAACACAACAATTCTTCCCCATTTTTTATATTGTTCAACCATCTTGTTTACAGCAAATGAAAACATATTTTCAAAATTACAAATTCTACAAAATAAAGCTATGAGAATCATGTTAAATAAAAACAAATATATTAGGATTAAGTCTATGTTAGAAGAACTGCAGTGGTTGGATGTGAAAAATTTCATATATTATTTAGTTCTCGTTTTCATATTCAAATTAAAAAATCATTTATTACCACCACATTTGGAGAACTTCACAAAATTAAATAGTCATTATCATAACTACGAAACTAGAGGCAGTATAGGTTTTCATATGCAAAATTGTAACAGTAGCATAACTAGTAAATCTATATTTCAAAAGGGAGTATTTGAATTTACTAAATTGAATAATGATATTAAACAAAGTTACAGAAAATGGATTGAAAAAAATATGTAACCGAATCATTATACAAAATTGACATTGTAGCATTAATGCTAAATAAAGTCTCCAACAACAACAACAACTGAGCAACTGGAAAGAACATATGGCATGTACCTTAAGTCGAACTTCTTCCCACCAATCAGCAATGGATTGTCAATATACTTCGAAATGACATAACTTTCTTTCGTCAATTGCTGTTGAAATGGAGTTTTTGACTCCCTAGACCATCGCTTCAACTTGGAAAGCTTGTTGATGAGAAATATTCCAGAACCTTGCGATCTGCCACAAGGTTTCATTATCCACGTACTTTGAGGTGCTTTTCTGTATTCTTCAACGAACATGTTGTAGTCTGGAAAATATATAATAAGAAACTCAGCAGGTTTACTCTATCCAGGTCAGGAAAAATGTCAGTATTTGCCATGTATGGATATAAATCTATTCAATATTATAGCTACACAAACAGTCTGAGCATTATAAATGTCAATTGAAATATGAGATATACCGGACTCCAAAAATTTTGAGCCCTTTGAAGAGCATTTTGATTATGCACCTCGAAATAATGAGAAACAAAAAAAAAACGCTTAAAACGTTTTTTAGGATCTTTCAAAATATCATGCAACAACGCTCAAAAATGACCAGTATTGCAAAAACAGTCGAGTAAGAAAGTTCGCTAACGTTGTGAAATTTTTAGTCCTTCGCTCATAGCAAAATAAGTTGATCTATAAAGAAGCAAGAAGGTTAGCTAAACTGAAACAATACAAATATGTCTGGACGAAAAATGGCGAGATCTTTGCAAGAAAGGAAGATTCCTCAGGTGTCATTATTGTGAAGGACACTGAGGGTTTAAAAAATATCAAATAAGCCGTCAACAAGCAAAGTAAGTAGAAAATACCTATCTACGTTAAGATGGATAACAAATGTCAGGACCTAATCATCTACTACCAAAATACAAGAGGACTACGATCTAAAACAACGGAGTTCTTTAATAATGTTCGTGCAAGTGATTATGACATAATATGCCTGACAGAGACGTGGCTCAAAGATGGTGTATGCAGCAGCGAATTATTTGGAGCGGATTACACAGTATTTAGAAGAGATCGTGAGAGTTCATGTTCACAAAAAAGTGATGGTGGTGGTGTGTTAATCGCGGTAAAAAATGTCTTCAACTCAAAACGCTGTTGTGAACTCGAATCTGATGCTGAAGATCTTTGGGTATCAATTGAACATATCAACGGTACCAAATTATTTATAAGCTGTATATATTTACCACCTAAGGATAGCATTTCATATGCCTCAGTTGTAAGCAAATTATACCAGAATGAAGGTTTTTTTCGACAAAATACGGTGTTGTTGGTTGGTGACTTTAATCTTCCAAGTGTCAATTGGCAACCAGTACTTAATGAACATTTTATGGAGCCACTTAATGTTGAAGAGAAAACGAGTGCCTTACTTGACATATTGTCGTATCTACAGTTAATGCAATTTAATAAAATTTACAATTCAAATAACCGTTTGTTAGACTTGATACTTAGTAACGAACGTTCAATATATAATATTACGAATTCGGTTGACATATTGGTTCCTGAGGATAATCACCATCCTGCAATTACATTTTGTTTTAAGCATGTTTTACTTAAGCCATTAATGCACCAGAGCCGATGCCTTTACAACTTCAATAAAGCTGACTATACTTCCATAAATAATACTCTTTTAGACATAGAATGGGAAAAATTATTTAGTACCAAATCTGTAGATGAAGCTGTAGCCATATTCTATAACATACTCAATGAAACTATTCACAAATTTACACCAACATATAAAATTCGAGGAAAATACCCAATATACTTTAAACTTGAAACAATACAAACAGTTAAGAGAAAAAATAAGTATCATAGACTATACAAACGTTTTAATAATCCATACTCATATCAGATATTCTGTCACCTTAGAGCCAAATCAAAAATCTTAATTAAGGTAAACCTGGATGAATACATAACAATGATGGAAAACAATATATTGAACGACAGCCGATACTTTTGGAAATACGTTTCAAGTAAGAAAAAATGTCATGTCTGTATACCTAGTTCTATAAATCATTCCAACTATGAAGCTAAAACCGGAAGTGGGGTGTGTAATGCCTTTGCTGATTTCTTTGCAAGTGTATATGTTAAATCTAAACATTTTTATTTAAACAAGGATGCTAGTCCTATTGATGTTACCTTAATATCCATTGAAAAAATATATCAACAAATAGTGTCCTTAGAAATTAAAAAATCAGTAGGCCCTGACGGCATACCTTCTGTATTTATAAAAAACTGTTCCGCTAGCTTATGTTTACCACTTCACCTAATTTTCAAAATATCATTAACTCAAAGAGTCTTTCCAACGAGATGGAAAGAAGGTGAAATATTGCCTATTCATAAAGGAGGCAATAGACATCTTGTGGAAAATTATCGACCTATCACTAAACTTTGTATTTTCTCAAAAATTTTTGAAAAGCTGATTTATGATCCTATCTTAAACATTACAAAAAATATCATTACGGAACACCAGCATGGATTTTTCCCTAAAATATCTGTAGAGACGAATTCGATGAGTTTTATAGAATATGCCTCTCACGCAATAGATGAGGAACTGCAGGTGGATGTTATTTATACCGACTTCAGTAAGGCTTTCGACAAGATTGATCATTCTATCTTGATGGAGAGACTTGCTGAGGTGGGTGTAGATGGTCCATTATGGCAGTGGCTAGCATCGTATATAAGTAATCGTAAACAAGTGGTGACTATCAATGGGTATCGTTCGGAGACATTCTTAGTAACTTCAGGTGTACCACAAGGTAGTCACTTAGGACCATTGTTATTTAACATATACATGAACAACCTTACTTCTGTTTTTCATTTCAGTAAATATTTGTTATATGCTGATGATCTAAAGATATTTACTATTGTTAGAAATGTAAATGACGGTGTAAAACTTCAAAGCGATTTGGAATCTCTGCAAAAGTATTGCACTGAAAACAGTATCTTCCTGAATTTAACAAAATGTCATTACATGAGGCTTACTAGAAACATAGCGAACACTATAGATTTCAGATATAAGATAGGGACGGCAGAACTGGAAAAGCTTCATGTAGTAAAAGACCTAGGGGTATACATTGATGAGAAACTCTCATTCATCACCCACGTAGAGCACATCGTAAATGATGCAAATAGAACACTAGGGTTCATAAACAGGACACGCAGAGAATTTACGAAGCCAAAAACGCTTCTTTCATTGTACTACGCTTATATACACAACAAACTGATGTTTGCATCAGTAATATGGAATCCGTCTTACAATGTACATATAGTCAGGATAGAAAGAATTCAACACAAATTTTTGAAGATGTTAGCACATAAAACTCACCAACCTGTTACAGATCATCATTATACGCAAATTATGAAACAGTTCAATATGATTTCCTTAAAAGATAGAAGAACGATTTCTGACATTTGCTGTGTCCATAAATTGTTGAATGGCCTCACTGACTGTCCGGATCTTTTGGCAAAATTTAACTTTAACACTCCTGATAGAACGTTTAGAACCTATCATCTGTTTAGAATACCGTTCCTTAGAACCAATCTTGGTCTTAATTCCCCTTTGGTCAGGGCTCAAAAAAATCATAATAATTTCTGTAATATAGAGTTATTTAACATTAGCTTGACCTCGCTGAAAAAGGCTTTAAAGTATGAGTATTACAGCTCTATGGCAGACTAAAATAGAAATGTTTTATTTTTTTACATAACTCAAGTTATCACCTCCAATATCATTTCTGGTATAATTTCAATTTAATTTTGATTTCAGTTTTAATTAAACGTAACTAAATGTTAAATTATGTATACTCCTTTTATTAAAAAAGTTAAATTAATAGTTTATTGCTTATAATTAGAACTACTCACTCAGTTTATGTTGTTACAACAATATCGGAGGATAAAAAAATATTAATATTGAAGTATTCAATAATGTAATATATGTATATGTATACGATATTTTATGTAAGTTTAGTTTTAGTTCACTGAGGGTGTGTGTTGGGTTTACCTGTTAACACCCCAAACTGTATATAAATAAATAAATAAATAAATAGCACCGCCACAGCTGGTCTGATTTTCAAAAACTGCAAGGTTTTTCATTCCTGAGACCGTGGTATCATTAATACATAAGTCTTATTTTCATCAAAATCTGAGTAGTACTTCCTGACGTATAAAGTGCCAAGGATAGCCGGACGGATAGAGAGACTAATATAAATGTAATACCTGAGATTTGAAATTTTTCGCGTCACATTCCCTTGGCCATTGGCATACATGTTATATGTAGGGCGCCTTTTTAAACCTAATCCTTCCACATAACTTTGACAGGATATTTTGAGACTCCGAGGACTTACCAGCAGGTAGAACAAATGTTACTGGTATAAAATCCAAATGAAGATATTTTGAATCTCCTCGCTCAGCCAAGCTATTACCCTCTTTCTCTAGTTCTCTTCTATACCTTTTGATATTCTTCACCAAAAGATCCTTTCGAGATATTTCATAGTGGTTTGGAAAATGGTTGATGAGCTGGTTGTCGCTCATCCTGTAGCCACTATCTACACTGCAAAAAAATAGTAATGGATAGAGGATAGAGGTTACAGGAAGCAATTTCGTTGTTAGGATCGGTCTTGGATATTTTCATTTTCGGATTGGTCGATTATGAGCTATCTCTCAGTTCGTTGAGAAAAACCAGATTTGTAAGATACCTGAATCAAAAAATCTTTTCAAAACGGGTCCTCTTTCTATAAATCTCAAATTGCAGCAAATTTGTCTAGGATGATCACTTTGTCTTGGAAATTTAGCACGCCATGTACCACCAAACATATAGATAAGAAATGTGCGACGTAAGGCTGGATATCTCCAGTTGCACATTAACACAGTAACGCTCGATGTATTCGAGATTCCAGTTCACTTCTACATCATCTTGCTAATCACAGACAGCAGATCAGTTGTTAGGATCATGAATACCATACTTATCATCATCGTCATCATTGACGTCATCATCATCATCATCATCGTCATCATCGTCATCACCATCATCATCATCATCGTCATCACCATCATCATTATCATTACCCTCACAAGGCACACATACGATATTACACATACTTAAAAAAATAAATAATACGTGATGAATAAATAAACCGACTAAGGTAACGGCTTATGCGTGACATATGTATAATGTCTAGCATTGTGGTATGCCGCATAAAGATTACGCGGAGCAATTCAATTGTTAGGATCGGTCAAAAAAAAAAAACAGTAGCTTTTAGGTTTCATAACATACATAGAGATTGTGTCAATTTGTTTCTACGGATGGCAAATTCCTTTATAATCACAAATAGCTCTCAAAGCATAAAAGTCTTAGGTATTCACTTATATCCATGTTTGATTTGTAGATTTCATTGCCAATCTACAATTTTCAAGCTATACTCTATACTGTGATGAACAATGTAAGGTAAGTGCTGAGGCGTAATCAATTGCCTATGCTAGTAGCAGATTTCGTTATGGTGTGTGTTTCTGGGTCTTGAGCACAGATTCACAAGATGCTTTTGTAGCCCAGAAAAGGGCAGTTGGATCTCCGGTAGGTCTACATAGCACAGAGCCTTATAATGAGGTTTCAAAAAATAAAGAAATCCAAAGGTGATGAATCTGGTAATCTTAGTGGCCATTCAATGGCACCTCTTCTACCAATCCATATTGTCGAACACGTAATGCGTAATGTGGTGGGGCACCATCCTGTTGGAACATCAACCTATTCGCAATGTACCGCCGATCATTCTGATTTTCAATTATGGCTGTTGATGCAGGATCTATCGAGTCTTCCAGTAATTCCAAATATATTTCACCGGTCAAATTTCCAGGTAAGAAAAAAGGACCAACTAAATGATCGCCAAAAATACCAGCCCAAACATTTAATTTTTGTGGCTGCTGTGTATGAACCTCATGATAAATTCTGAGTTTAGAATCGGACCAATATCGGCAGTTATGACGATTTACTACGCCATTTAAGAGAAAGGAACATTCGTCGGAAAAGCAAGTGTTGAATAGAAAATGTTCGTCGTTTATAATTCGTTCACTCATATCTTCACAAAATTGTAATCGCCGATCAAAATCGTCTTCATTAAGTTCTTGTGCCAGGTGAACTTTATACGGATGAAAACTATGGGCCTTTAGAATCTGTTGGACAGTACGTCCACTGACACCACACACTGTCTCCAGTTTGCGGGTACTTAACGTAGGATCTACATAAACTTGCCCTAAAGCCCCCACTTCTATTGCTACGTTCCTTATGGGATTTTCAATGTTGCGTTTTTTATTGGCGACTGACCCAGTTTCCCGAAATTTAGCTACAAGTTCTAGAACATATTTTCGATGCACGTTACTGTTCTCATGTCGCTCATTAAATATTTCTGCTGTTCTATTAGCGCACTGATTATTTCCGAAAAATATTTCGATAATTTCAACTCTTTCTGCTGTGGAATATACCATGGTTAATTTATGTAATATATCGTTACAAGTTATTTTAGCAACAAAGTTTGGTCAAACTAATTGCAAACTATGTACTAAAATCCTATTTAAAATAAGTACGAGATATGTCCTTATCTTTCTTCAAGAAATAACCTTTATGGCACAAGAAAACGCTCCAATAGCTACTTTCAACAACAAAATGATAAACAAACCATGAGCGTAGTGAAAAAAAGCATTTACTTATTAAGTAAATTCTTTTAGTCCTATTTCTTGTGAAAGTAGTACAAACTAATCTGATATACCTATTAAAGGCTACTTTAAGCTTTAAATCAATAAATCATCAAAACTACTGAACTGAAGCTCATGTATTTTACATCATTATAAAGGGAACTGAAAGACCTTTAAAATAAGGTATCACTCGATCCCCCTTTCCATTTAAAATTTTAGGGTTGGTGTCACCCCCGCTCAGGGGGCTGCACGTATTAACGTGTTTTTTTGCCAAACTTGCGTCCCTCTCGAAAATAAAAGCGACGGGTCTGGGCGTTTTTCCAAAAAAAAACTGAGCTGCCAGTAAATGCGTCTGTTTCGTTTTCGATGCGCCACCCTGTATAATTGGCATGTACGCCCCTGATTTTCCAGGTATAAGGCTGTTCAACGATTTATCTGGAACTATTAAATCGATTGTCAATTATTACTATTATTGGATACTTATTTTTTAGGACTGGCTGATTATAAGCAATCATTCAGTTCCTTGAGGAAATACCAGAGCTAAAGGACATTTTAAAGGGACCTGAATCCACGAGAGCAACCTTTTCTTCACATCTCTTCAAAACGATGGCTCTGGCATGTCGCGACTGAAAGCTTTATTAGAAAATACTCTTATCATAGTGTGACGGCGTTAGTCAATGTCTATTAAAATATAGTGGAGAAGCTTTCCTCAAGTATTGGGAGCGACAGGAACTAGGTCAATCTACTTAACAATAAGAAGGTACCTGAACAGACTCCTGCATGTCATGGTGCCCGCCCAGTAGATGTTCCATTCGTCTTCGGGTCCCACTTGTACCCATCCTCGTTTCTCGCAATTCGCTACCACTACGCTTTTGTCTAAATCCGTGCAAAATGTTACCTTCATTTTGACACTGGAATGTTCGAACGCTTAACCTACTGATATTGAACTAACATCACGCCTGTTGCTACTGGATACGAATATCGGGGTCATAAATGAAGCTGACTACAAACTATCGTTGGCGTTAGCTTCAGGCTTAGAACATAAGTGAAAAATGGCCTCACCAGGGAGGTGAAGGTATCATAATAATAATATTTACTTACTTCTAAGTATAAATAGTGACTAAATAAATGTGAAGTAACGGCCCCCAGGAGGCATTGCTCCTACATGGACCATTGATGCTGCAATTGTACATATTATTGAAGTACGAATAGATGTTTTAAAAAATCCTCCGACCAGAATTCAGAGCATATAGGGTGACACAAAAATTATGGCTATTGCTCTGATTCGATATACGGTTTGAATAGTAAGGTCTCCAGAAGGTCCGCCATATTCTGCCTCTCACATTAGTGCTGTTCCATCGCGTTTTACGTAATACTTCTGGTGGTTAAGAAATTTGACTTTTAAAAGGATTAATCACATCCACATATATGGAATATTTTTTTAAATACTCTTAAAGGAACAATCCAGGAGCAGTTATTCCGATGGAAATTAAATTAAATTAGTTCTTCTCCAAGTAATGTGGTGCTGAGCAGTTGAATGGTCCCCTAAAGCATGAGCTGTAGTTTTGTGTTGCTCACCAAGATAACATAACTGACTCTACTACTACTACTTTCCACCCACCATATAAATAACAAAAAACTTAAATGTAGGATATCTTCTATCAAACAGGCCATATAATTAGACCATATTCCTCAACCATCTGGCAATGTTGCGGTTTAGAAATTCCACCGGCAGTACGTGCCACCTATCAACGTTAGGGATGTTTCGATCGATACCATGTATCGATTCGTTTCGCTTTAGGAAGAATCGTTACTTTAAAATACCGGAATAAAAATATCGATACCACAAGTATAGAAACTTTCCGATGCAGAACAGGCACTGCCGAAAATCGATCAAAATCCTCAAAATAATGTTTACTTTTCTTCACCTGCAGGACTAGATTGTCAAATATGTTCCACAAATCACTTCTTACAATAATGTTTTGTTTTACGCTACGTTTACTCAATGGATACTAAAACCACTGCGAGCAATGTGTGTGTAATTCCCCGAAACCGAATCCAATAAGGTTGCCAAGTCGTTTCCCAACTAACAATTATCACTCCTATTAGAGTTGCAAGAATGATTATACAGTATTCCTTAAACAGCATTGTATACTGTAACAACATTGGCAAATCCCTCTTAGAACAGCTATACAAGCGGAATGGGCACACCTAATAGGACACTTCAGTCATTTAAGAGGTTGTATAAGGGCTGCAGGTAACAGTTATACAACAAAAGTGTAAGCACTTGCAGCCGCTATAGGACATTTGCGTCAGTGCAAGATTCAGTTTTTGTCAACTATATAACTATTCTGTGACATGATTCTACTTTATTGCAACCAGGTAACAGTTATACAACAAAAGTGTAAGCACTTGCAGCCGCTATAGGACATTTGCGTCAGTGCAAGATTCAGTTTTTGTCAACTATATAACTATTCTGTGACATGATTCTACTTTATTGCAACCAAACTATTTATTATGTATTGTATAGAGTAAGTGCAGAATATATAACTAACACATTACAGTCATCTTGTTTACCTTACATATCGGCCATTGTGAATTTCATACACAGGTATATGATAAACTTCTACACTGTGATATAGGGCTATTGAATTACTAGCGCAGCAAATTTTATTGTGACTATCGTGCAAATTAGTTACCCAATTTCTACGGGCTTCGTATTTGATTCATATTTTGACAATGATCAAAAGTTTGTCTAGGTTTTTAAGATGGAAAACTGAACTTATCTGCGTTAAATCTTCGACAAATTCTATATTTAGGCACAATTACACTAATGTTTATCACTTTATATCTGTAATTTCGAACTGAAACATAATTATTTAATATTAAATAGAGGAATAAATGTTTGCCCAATATGGCGGGTAGTTGTGTACAATCATGGCATCGTCCATGTTGTCTTTAGGTTATTAGAATATTTTGGTGTTACCTGCAGGTGTTATAACAACAATTTGACAAATGTCTGAAATGAAATACCGACAGAGCCGAATGATTTATCCCGAATTTGTACCAGATCTATATCTTCTGTTTGAACAGTTGATAAAACCTTTGTGCATGCGTTGTTTGCCTTAAAACATTGATTATGGCATTTTACAAAAATATGACAGCAGAAAGGTAGGTTATGGTGAAGTTGTTTACCAACATATTTAGCATATATTCAACCTTTAGCAGTTACTAAACAACAGTTGTATAAGTGCTTCCGTTGAGAGCAATTTGTTGGCTAAAGTAGTAAATTGCACAGCAAAACAACAACGCTCGGGTTTGTTTTATAAACGTTAGCATGGATGCCACAACACAACCATTTTTACTAACGTGCAAATATGCTGTATAAAATAGTTGTATAAACGTTTATGCAACAGTTAAAAATTTGCCCAATAAGGTGTTGTATAACTATGCTATAAGAATATTTTGAACACTTCATTTTAGAGCAAATATGTTGCAGAAAGCAAATCTGCATTCAACACAACATTAAGCCAGCATTTTGGTGTTCAGGCGACAACAATAGAGAGCTTTTATGGCTGAACGGTTCTTTTACCAGAAGTTTATACCACTACTTTGCTAGTTGGGTTAGCTCAGTTTCCCCAGTCGAAATGAAAAAATCTCCTAAATTCAGGCCTTTTAAAGAAAATCTCCAAAATTTCATTCATTTTTTCTTACCATAGGTTTACAATTTGTCAGGTATTCTTGATTAATACATTTTTTTTTTGAGCAACATATTCTTTGTATGGCGCTAAAAACCCCAAAAAATAAATGTATTCGTTTTGAATCGAAAGACAAATAAATACATAACAGGTACATTATGTAATGTCATTAATACAATTTTACATTATAATACCTCTCCAGTAAAATATGTTTCTCGAAAAGAAATCCCCAGAAAGAGATATCCTCAAAATTTATCCCATCGAAATAAAAATTCCCCGTTTTTTGGGGAGAACCCTCTAATATGGCAACCCTGGAATCCAAAATAAATTAAGTGAGGTCGTGAAGTGGGAGGAAACAAAGAAGAAAAGTAATCTGAAGTTAGTTACTCTTTCTAACACAGTCCGGAGCGAAAAATAACGATACTCGTGAAATATATCGATACACCCAAATATCGTATATAAAAATATCGATTCAAAATATCGGGTTTTGGAAACAAAAGTAGCGATACTTCTAAATATTGGATCGTACCGAACATCTCTAATCAACGTTACCACTCGCCAGCCATTTATCGGTTAGGTTTCGACGTAGGTATATCGACCTTTGATGACATTTCTCTATTATTTTAAGGGTAAATGTACGGGAAAATCTATGACGGGTGAAATATGTCTAGAAGGTGCATAGAATTACTGGTGTAGGAAGTCTTTTAAATACTACACCACCTCTGACACTCAACACTCAATTTTTAACCTACAAAAAAGGTTTTTCTGGAAAGAATCAGGTGCCTGTAAAACGCCAAAAAACGAGTTCATTTATATTTTTTTCGTTTTTGTCTGAAGCTCTGCTGTCACTACACCGACTTTCAAAAATTACAAAAGTGATTCGTCCTTGGCATAGCTGTAGACTTTTGTCAGTATTTCATCAAAATCTGACCGCCACGATCCATGTTATAAGTATCATTCAAAATACATAATATCCAGTCTCAAAAATGTTCCCTATTAAAATGCTTCCTCGCCAGAAGCGTAGAAAAAAATCTTGTGAAACGAGCGCGATATATCATGTTGTTTGGCTTTCGAACCCAAGAAAAGAAGAACGTGAATTTTTTAACAAAATCTGACATCTTTTTTATTTGAATCGTATCTTCTGTATCATCCTGTGCATATAGTAGACATTTTATATGTATAATATCTTATATTTTATTGCTGGATATCGAAATTTGAAAAATACATGTATCAAATAGTTCATTTCTGATCTTATCAGCTATGATTATAGTGATTATATGGGGATGATAGCGATGCAAGCTGAAATCTTAAACATTTCTACGTTATTACGTTGAACAATTGATTCATTTACTATCAAGCTGATAAATTGACACACAGTGCTGCGACAATGTTCATAGCTAGAGTGGCCAAAGGTATACTGTTTGTCGTCAACTTACTCATCTTTGTAAGTATACTTTGCCCTCCTTATTTTTGGCTGTAAAACAAACATGGAAAACTGTATTTCATAAAATTAGATTAATTTTTAAAAATTGTTTAAAAATCTAACCAACCGTGCTATTGTCCGTCCGACCAAAGACAGCAGAATCATCAGCCCCTAGCGGTCACAGTGCTGAGAATGGGCTGTCAAACGTGAACGTGTATTAAGCTGTGTTTACACGTGGATGTTGCTGTTAATGTCAAATCGTCTTTGTTCGGTATTTGAGAAACTGCGTGGCTTCTTTATGTTTATCAAAGGACAAAATATCGTTAATAATCAAAGGATGTTGTATCATTTAGGTTGGTGCATGCGGTTCAGTAGGTCTTGCAATATATTACCGTTTACACAATGCTGGGCTACCCATGGAGTCCGTTGACATATTCGCTATGGTAGCAGGAGCATGTGTAGCACTCATAGCTTTCTTTGGATGCTGCGGGGCGTATAAAGAAAATACTTGTTTGTTAACAACGGTAAGGAAACTGGAAATTTTGATTCTTATATTGATTTTCAAAACTGAACATTTTTGACGATTGCTTCATTTTAACGTATTCTTCAAGAAGATAACAAATCCTATGCTGCTTTTAAATATTCACAAGCAGTTGTCATTGTCATAGCCATCTTGCCAAATAAGACTACAGTAATATCCTTAACAGAACTTAAAGCATATCCCTTTACATTTAAAGGAAAACTTGACAAGAACCCTCTTCGTAATCATTTCTCAGATTTTGTATTCTTAGAATTATTCAACGACAGAGAAGGCAACAGTCCTGAAGATGACACATAAAAGTTTTAAGTAATACCGATGTAGTATGTTTTATTTGAAACTCAGTTTTGCTATACTTTAGTACGAGCCCCTTCCCACTTCAGTTGGCCCACTTCAAGATTTGTACCAAAATATGCCTTTATAAACTAAACGTGACGAAACTATTTACTTCTAAAACAATTTATTTTCTCAAAAACATTTTAGATCCACTCTAGTCGAAAAAAATACATATACTAGGTGACATATAAATCCGAACACCCAGTTTAAATGGTTTTATTTTAATAAAAGTTGGTCAATGTATTTATCTTACTGTAAATAACAAAAATTTTCAGCCTTATCAGTTGGACATTCCGGTTTTTATACTGCTTTTTTTTAATTCACTAACGCTCTAAAAATGAATATTTCAGCCGCAGTAAAGAATCAACGTTGGCGGATTTTGGTTCTTGACATCCTTTACGATCGGTTACGATGCCTAGAGTACGGAGACCTGTACGATTTCGTCAACTTAGTGAGTTTGATAGGGGCCGTATAGTGGGACTTCGAGGAGCTGGACTTTCTTTTCGGCAATTGCAGTTAGAGTGCAAAGAAGTGTAGACACTGTGGTTAGGTGTTGTCAGGCAAGTCTTCGAGAAGGCCGTACGCAAAGAGCAAGGGGCACTGGACGCCGCCGTAGAACAACAGACCGTGAAGATCGCCGCCTAAGATTATTGGCCTTAAGGGACCGTTTTTCCACTACCAGGTCCATTGCAAATGAATGGTTTGCAGAATACGGAAGACCTATTGGCATGCGAAGTGTTTATCGACGAATGAGGAGTTTTGGCTTGTTTTCATACCGGCCACACTGGGTCCTCCCTTTAACTCGAGAACACCGACGTAATCGCCTTGAGTGGTGCAGACAACGGTCACTCTGGGATCAGGAATGGAACAGTATTGTCTTTAGTGACGAGTCTCGATTTTGTTTAGGCATGCACGATGGTCGTGCCAGGGTTAGAAGGCGACGTGGTGAAAGGAGGAATCCACAGTTTTTTGTTGAAAGACATGTTCATCACACTGTTGGAGTTATGGTTTGGGGTGCTATAGCTTATGGTTCCAGGTCACCTTTAATCTTCATCAGAGGTAACATGAACGCGCAGCGTTATATCAACGAAGTTCTACAACCCCATCTTTTACCCTATCTTGACACCCTGGCAGATCCAACTTTCCAACAAGATAATGCCCGACCACATGTTGCAAGAGTCACAATAGACTTCTTTCAACATAATGATGTCACATTGTTACCATGGCCACCAAGATCTCCCGACTTATCCCCAATTGAGCACGTGTGGGATATGATGGGTAGGAGATTGCTCAATTTGCAACGTCCTCCTCAGACTCTAGAAGCACTTCGAGAGGAGTTGGTGGTTGCCTGGAATGAGATACCACAGGAGGTCATTGACCACCTGATCAGAAGCATGCCTAGGCGCGTTGGAGAATGCGTAGCACATCAGGGTGCATCCACACATTATTAAAGGTCAAAGGGCTTTAAAGCAGTGCAATCATTTTGAAATTGTTATCATTTACTTATTATGCTTCATTAAGTACTTATACAAAATTTTATTAAAATAAAACCATTTAAACTGGGTGTTCGGATTTATATGTCACTTAGTATATCTGAAATCACTTAGACCTATAACTAATAGAACATCTGAACAAATAAACAATGTGCGAATAAATGTGCGAAGTTAACAAAGCAACAATTGAAAGATTACCATTGGGTAACATCACCTTTATTTTTTATTACGGCTGAAATTCTTTGGGGCATAGTGTTAACCAAGTTTTGGCAAAAATTTGGTGTCAAGCAATCCCATATTTCTTGAAGCTTTTGTCTCAGTTCGGTGATTGTACGAGCAGGATGTTGTCGTAGAACCTTTTTCATCTCGTGCCACAAAGTTTTAATAGGTGACAGATCTGGACTGCTAGAAATCCATTTCAAAACCGGTACATTATTTTATTTCATCCATTTTATAGCCTTTTTTGAGGTATGGCACGCTGCACCATCTTGCTGAAACACAAAATCTAGGCCGGATGTCAAACATTCTTCCATCACTGGTAAAAACGATTCTTCTAAAATTGCCAAATATTTGTTTGTATCCACATTTCCATCAATAAAATGAAGTTTTCCTACTCCTTTTGATGACATACTGCCCCAGACCATAATAGGAAATTTCACTTTTCTCTTCAGACAGTCAACATGGAATGCTTAATTTTTTTGCGAATAACTCTACTGCGACTGTCACTAACACAAACTTCGAATCGGGCCTCATCACTCCATTGTATTGCACTTCATTGTTGAGGTGTCCATTGTCTATGTTCTTTAGCCCATCTAAGCCAATTTTTCTTTTGCAGTGGAGTTAATAGCGGCTTTTCTTTGGTCTATAAACAAGTTGTGCAACTATATGGTTTTTACTTCACTTTTTTTTATAAGAAAACTTACCTTGCAAGTGCTAAATCGCAGTTTGTGGGCCTCTCTATGAGTTGTGGACCTCGAAATTCTCCTTTCAATAGCGTAACTCCACAGAGTGCTTAATTGTAAATACAGCAGACGCTCGATAACGTAAACACGGGATAATGAAAACTTGCGCTAATGTAAACACAAACTTCGTTCTATGGGATCAAACGGAACGCGCGATAACGTAAACAATGTGTACGCTCGATAACGTAAACAAATCTCGGCGCACGGAAACAGCGCGACGGTAAAATGCTGAAGACTCGATGATTTATGTCGGGCGTCGGGGAGTCCCCGATTTATGATGTAGAGTGTAGGGGATTCACCTCTGCGATAAAAACAACAAACTCGGTCAGTCGTATGATCGTTTAGGATACGTTTATACGTACGTATGTATTTCATTTTTGAACTTAAGTGAATACATTGCACGCGTTAATATATGTTACGACTATGGCATCCACATCCTATAAAAGAAAGTGTTTAAAGTTGAGTGAGAAAGTGAAAATCATAGACGAAGTTGCCCTAGGTGCGCGAGTGACACAGTTAGCAAAAAAATATGGAGTATTGAAAGTAACAATCGGTAAAATTAAGCGTATGAAAACTCAAATTTTACAAAGAACGTGCAATACATTTGGAGGTCCGGGAAAAAGAAAAACTTTAAAAAAATTTCCTGTATAAGTGGTTTTTAAAACAACGGCAAAATCATGTCCCAGTTAGTGGCGAAGTACTTGAACAGAGAGCGAGACTGTTAAATAAAAAACTGAAAGAAACTGAAAATTTCGTAGCTAGTGATGGCTGGCTACAACGATTCAAAACAAGATATGGAATTCGACTGCTGTCTATATCTGATGAAAAATTATTAGCACAACCACAATTAGTGCAAACATTCAAAGAAAAATTGATGAAAACAATTACCGAGCTAGATTTAAGAATGGAACAAATTTACAACGCAGATGAAAGTGGCCTTTATTGGAAAATGTTACCAGAGAAAACCTATGCTGCATCATTTGAAAAATCTGCCCCGGAAAGAAAGCCGGAGAAACAACGAATAACGTTTCTAGCCTGCACTAATGCTAATGGTTCACACAAAATAAAGCCACTGGTAATTGGGAAAGCAAAAAATCCGCGCTCATTTAAAAATGTTAATATCCCTGTTGATTATGACTGTTCGAAAACCGCTTGGATGACTAGCAGTATATTCCTGAAACGGTTCCACAGGTGCTTTGTCCCTCAGGTATGACAATCAATTATTACAAATGCTCTATTCATAATTTGAAGATGTGTTTTCAATTTGTAGGTAAAAGGTTTCCTAAAACAACAGAAGCTTCCAATAAAAGCGTTGTTACTATTGGATAATGCACCAAGTCATCCTCCCGAGCAACAACTGAGGAGCAGGGATGGGTCAATTTTCGTCATGTACATGCCGCCCAACGTAACACCGTTAATTCAACCGATGGACCAGAATATAATAAGACTCACCAAACTATACTATAGGAAGTTTCTACTTTCGTCTGTCTTATCAAAGAATCCTGAAAACTTATCTGATGCTTTAAAAAAGTAACATTACGAGAAGCTGTTTTAGATTTACATATGGCCTGGAATGAACTTAACCAGCAAACTATTCAAAAATGTTGGAACAATCTGTTTTGTACCAATAATGAAGATGATGAAGAACACGATGTCCCCTTAAGCGTAATTAGAGAACGTTTGCGATCCAATAATGATAATGTTATTAGTGTGTCATTGGATGTTGGATGTTGTTGAACGAAGATACGCAGACGAATGATGTTGATAAGGAGGGGGATATGGACAGTGAGGATGATGAGAACGATCCCATTGAAGTCAGAAGTGTAGTCGACTGACGCGCAAGCTATACAAGTTTTTAACCAAGCTTTAGATTGGGCTGAAAGAAAAGAAGTTTCATACACGGATATTTTAGTTCTTCATAAATTACGGGCGCAGGCATTGGAACACAATGCTAAGCGCAAATTTACGCAGACAAAAATTGTTAATTATTTTTCTTCTAATTAAAAAAATACTTATCGCTGTTAGAATATTTGTTTATTTTGTTATAAATAGTATGTATTAAACGTCTCTTTTAATAAATCAAATATTATATAAATCAAGTTCGCTAATGTAAACATTTCGATAATGTGAACCACACTTGGATTAAATTAGTTTACATTATCGAGCGTCTGCTGTAATTGGCACGTCTGTTTTTCACGATTATTCTTCGATAGGCATTTGTGATATTACTTTTTTCACATATCGTGGCTTAATATCAACTGAACCAGTTACGTTATATATTTTAACAATATTTCTCACACTGTACCACGATAAGTCTAACAAAGTTGCAATTTCTGAGTTTGATTTCCCAGAATTAAAAAATTTAATTATCGGTAACCGAATTTCCTCACTAATAACCGTTAATCTACCCATTTTGAAAACCTTAACTACCCAAAAATATTTTAAACGTCTTCTGACAGCTGGGATTAATAAAAACAATTGTCATGGCTTTTATTTTTCACAACCACCTATGCGTTATAGACTTATATTGCATTGAAATGAAAATAGGTTGATATGCTGTAATTGCAACAATGTGTTATTTTTATGCTGCAAATTTGATTAGGGAGTGATAAATAAAAAAACTAAGATTTCAATAGTTGGACCAACTGAAGTGGGAAGGGGCTCGTACTTTTAATCTTTTAACTTGCGCACAAGGGCTGTCCTTCTGCGGGTTCTGGATTAATTTGTACCTCAAAACATGTTTTGTCTATCAGAAATGTACCATTTTTTGGAGGCAAATAATATTATTATGTATATGCATTTTTTTGGAAAAAAGGTTCTCGGCAAAATACTTGAATATCAAAAAAGACATTTGCAAATCCATTTAAAAGAATGCATGGTTACTAATTCTTCGAGGTGTTGGTGCGTTTAATAGATACCCTGTATACGTATGTAGGCATAAGTGATTGGCGACGCTACGGCACCTAAGTTTATTTTCAATTCGATATGATCTGGTGGAATATGTTAAGCTAATCAAGCGGATCGCACAGCAACCCTCTGTTGCGTGATTTAGTAGACTACACAGTTGAGCAAGATCGCAAACGGTCCAGGCAGCACCTCGCACTGTGATTAAACTTACATCTTGAATTCCAGACCAACAACAATTACTTCAGCATAGAAAACCGATCAAAATTGCTTTTGGAGTTATAAAGTTATTCGAGTAGTCAAACCAATAATGCTTAAGCATTGTCGTTTTCTAGTTCAAATGGTTTACTTATTTTCTTTGCTCTATTTCTTCCTCCCTTGCTTTCTTTCTTTCTTTACCTTTTCTCCTTGAACATGTTTGGTATCTGGGCAGCGAGATCAGATAGACAACAGATCGATGAGACTTTTAGTCAAATGTCCACCGGACCTCTCTGACGAACAATGACCAATACTAGTATAGGAATAATAACCAATCTGAATATTATATCTAATTGAATATCAATATTTGAAGGCGCAATTTTTGGGTCCTTTCTAAAAAGAAAACTTCAGATGAACGTACGTCCTAAACGTCTTAACTTTTGAGATACAGGGTGGTAAAAATATCTATAAATGCCATTTTAGATATCTAAATGAAGTTTGTACTATGTGTCAAGAGGCTTTTTTTAATGTACCACGTTTTTTTTTAAATTTCCACCATTGACCTTCGTACGGAAGTTCACCTGCCTATTTTGGCAAGCATTGATGGTACGCCACATATTTCTCTTAAAATAAAAATTATGCTTGAAATCATCAATCATTTGTAAGCAAATTTGATCGATGAGAATATCGGGTTTTTGCTTAAAAAATAAACGCCCTGGCTCTAGATTATCATAACAATATCGATAATATGTCAATGTTGACATGCAAAGAAGTAGCTTTTATTCTTTGGGTGAAAACCATGCTCATGGGTATCATGTAAAAAACCTATAAAGCGTCAAAAAGAAACCTATAAGAGATCATCTTGCAAACTAGGTAGTTTTTAGGGCGCAAAAGGTCATTCCGCGTTTGCTCACTAGGATCTTGTGAACGTCCATCTATGGAGGAATCACTCAACTAAACTAAACGCATTATTGGTTGCATATGTTCTGTGAGGCCAAATGGTCCTTGTCTGTAGTTTTTATCTCTGAGAAGAATGTTGGTTGAATAGCAAGATCGCATCTGGATGATTATGTGTATTGGTCTGCATGTGTATAAAATCAGTGATATTCGCTGTGTGAGAAAATCATTACTGAATCTGCTGCCAATGAAGTATATCTATTGGCTGTGACCGACGGGTTATTTTTATGTTGTGCTTTCTGAAGAGAGGTGTTCAAAGTTATGAATTCCGAAAAACTGTTGTGTGTATTACTGTTAGCATGCATATGGCTTGTAATTCGACAGTGTATACTGTATATAATTATTTCTTATCTCTCTCATTTTGGAAATTCAGCAAATTTGTATATGTAATTTCCAGAATGGATAAGTAAAAGTGGATGCGCAACTAATTTTTAGCTTTGAATCTCAATTACTATAAGTTTATTTGAGACAAGAACCCAATGTAATTATCATCAACACATACAACTTACAGCTTAGACCTTCAGTAATGCCATCTCAGAAGCAGATTTTACATCACATCAGAGCCAAAGATTGATAACAACCCTCAAGACGTTTAGGCAACACGTACAACTAAGTGCTAAGTTAATATCTTGTAGAAAAACCTACATAATGTCAAAAAAAAAAAACAGCATAATGTCAAAAAAAATGGGCATAATACTTTTCAAGATACGTGATACCCGTGCCGGACTAAAAAAATCCAAAAGCTCTACATATACTCTGCACATAAATGTTCAATTCAATTTTATTTTAGCGTAAGAAAAGCAAGTGGCATGCCATTCACTTTCTATATTAAAACTTTACAACTCTGATTCTCAAAAGTTGAGACGCTTAGGACATTCGTTCTTCTTAAAAAAACGTTCCCTTAAATATTGACATTCAAATACGAAAAACCCTGCATTCAGCTTCAATGTTAATGTTCTGTTCATTTGGCCCAATTACTTTCTAAAAAGGCAAATAAGGAGAGGAGGTAGAACGTTACCAGTCTAGGAAGGCGTTTAATAATGGTTTATCATTAAGCTAAGGACTTTCCTTCATCCTGAAATAAATCTTGCACCCGCTCCTAGTGATTTTTTATTTTTGCTTCCAGTATTCTACAGCGCTGATCGCTCTTGTTATAGTGGAACTGGCTCTAGCCGTTGTGGCTTTCTTAGTGATAAGTGGACGGTCTCTAGGACCGGATATAACGAGACACTTGAACGATATGTATGATGACAAAGAGATAAACCAGTCGTACATGGATATCTTGAACACAGTGCAAAGATATGTAAGTGATATACATGTTCTCCCGTCGGAGTCGGGCTCTTCGCTTTCATGAAAAATTATCGGTAATTTTGATGCACTTGTGTAATTACTTCCGAATATCTCCCTCATGTATAAAAAATGCCATAAGATGTGTGGAATTGTCGCAAAAATACAGCGAAAATTTCTCTACAGGTCCGCATCCATAATTACGATTGATGAAATGTGCATTTGCCTCCTTAAAATTGTCTGATTTCTGGGTTACCAGACCTGACAGACTTACAAACTGACACTGTGACTCAAGAGCTAAGGTCCCATGGACCGCTCTGACAACCAACGATGACTTGAATGTTCATTTGTCATCTTGACATCAGATATTATTACTCTTTTAAATTGGGAAGTATTCTACCGAATTACACTCGAGCATCGAAATAAAGCTGAAGATTTCCCATTCAAGCATGTTGTCAGTAAGAAACCGCATTCAGTTATTTTCATATTTTGGTGAAATACGTAACATTCACAATCTCCTACCCCTAAGTTTCAGCCCCTACAAAGAATTTTCCGAAAACGATCAGGAGCCTCTGAAACATCAAAAAACGAATTTTAAGCTTCGCCGCCACTGAACATATTTCCAAATAGGATTAGCGGACAGACCGACAGACAGACAGAAATGAGTGACATGGTGTTTCGTGATGTACATGCCATATAACATCCAAAAAACATAATATCTCCGTTCCGAAATTTTTCGCGATTACAATACTTCCTCGCTAGTTGGCGTAGGAAATAAAAAGTCAAAAATAATAGATAATATAATCAATTCAATTTTTCTTCTATACTGTGCTAGTTTGGCGTTAAGTTATACTATACTACAACTATTTAAAACTGTAATGACTCATACGCGTGATCAACACGTGATCAGAGCTCGATCCCGGCTTCCTTCCAGTACAGCCGTATAGCGTACGACACATGTCGTTTCTGTGGCTTTGCGGTGATCAACAGCACAGACAGAGATGGAAATAATGGCTGATTGTTCTCCGCCGGTAGAAACAATGAAATCAAAGACGCGCCTCGACTGGCAGACTCATAGGCGTCGGCAACGCATTGGAACGTGTTTCGTTGAGCGATCGCATATTGTGTGTTTTTATAAGAATTGTTGTGTGATTGTTATTGTTGTGGTTTCTGTGGTTACTGTTTTGGTTATACTTAACCATGGAGAGTACAAATGGCACGAGTGGAAGTACTGAAAGCCAGGGAACAAGTAGACGGCTTCGTAAAGCACTGGAGAGGGACGCGAAAGAAATCGTGCTCAACGTGTTCAATTATCTGAACAGAACTATGTCGCAGGGAGATGCACTCGCGCGTTGTGAAAGTATGACAGGCGTTCCAGAGTGGACCATCCGCAGGGTGGTGCATGAAAAGAAGAAAACTGGAGCTACTACTGATCCAAAGTTATTTGTAGGGATTTGAAGGGACGAAAGGCCGTTAGATTGGATGACGATAGCAAAATGGCGTTAAGGCGAACCGTACATTCATTTTTCTTTAGGAATGAGATACCAACCCTCAAGGCTGTACATGCAGTGATCAAGGAAAATGAAATTATACCCCAAATGAGCGTCGAGGTAATGAGGAAATCCCTGCACGAAATTAATTTTCGTTACGAAACGCGTAATCGGAAGTAGTATTGATAGAGAGACCTGAAATAGTCGCCTGGCGTCGAAAATACCTACGTGAAATGATTGAATATAGGCGACAAAGCAGAAAAATCTATTATTTGGACGAGACATGGGTAAATGCAGGTCACAGAGTTAAAAAAACCTGGATAGACAAAAACGTAGTGAGTAACCGACAAGCAAGCATTGAAGGTTTGTCAACAGGTCTTCGTGGACCGTCAGGGAAAGGTCAAAGATTGATCGTAACTCATATTGGTAGCGATAGTGGCTTTTTAGAAGAGTGTGACTTGATTTTCGTCTCTAAGAAGGAGGTGATTACCATGAGGAAATGAATGCCAGCTGCTTCGAGAGCTGGTTTCAAGGGGTGCTTCAGCGAGTTGAACCCAACTCTGTGATCGTCATGGATAGTGCTTCCTACCATAGTCGTCGAGCCGAACGTGTACCGACTATGGGATCTCGAAAAAGTGACATGCAGCAATGGTTGCGCGAAAAAGGAATCCCGTTTGACGATTCATGTGTGAAAGCGGAATTGTATGAAAAAATTATACAGCACAAACCTGCGAACATTAGTTACGTGACTGATGAGATGGCCCGTCAATGTGGTGTCACTGTGCTGCGGTTACCGCCCTACCACTATGAACTGAACCCAATAGAGCTCATCTGGGCTCAAGTGAAGCGTTATATTGCGCGCCATAACACAACCTTCAAATTACTAGACGTTAAGGTTTTACTTGAGACTTCCATACAGCTAGTAACGCCCGAAGCTTGGCAGAATGCTATCCGTCATGTTGTGAAGGAAGAAACAAAAATGTGGCAGCTTGACAACCACATCGACACCATCATAGAGCCAGTTATAGTCAATTTCAACGAGGAAAGCGATAGCGACAGTTTATTACTGTCAGATGTAAGTGGAAGCGACGATGAATAAAGGTAATTCCCAAATTTTTGACTTACAATATGTTTCAAACCACTCTTTATTAAGCATGTGACAAATCAAGTTCACCCATGTTAAACATTCATACCCCGCCTATGAACAGCCGACTACTGGTAGTTAAGTGATGTTCACGTGAACATCGATGAGTCATTACAGTTTTAGATAGTTATAGTATAGAGTAGCACAACCGTTAACATGAAGTGTCTTTGTGTAAGTACAGGGTGGGCCATAATGGTGTTGGCAATTTCAATATTCAATTAACAAATAACTACGCAATATAAAAGAAAAATAAATATATTTTTAAAAGTAGGAAGATAGGCATTTTTAAGACTTAAAAATAATGTTGCTTGGCACTCTTGAAACAGAAGCTGCAGATTTTGGAAGACTCGTTGAAAAGTTGTTCTCGGTATTTTGTTACTTTCCTGAACAATATTCCTCTTCACGAACTCCTTTCTTGCGGCCCGCTTCACGGGTCATGTATACATCACACGTATAAATTACTCTCAAATACCGAATATGCACAATTCTTACATTGACGATAAAATACAATAACATGTGACGCTACTGGCGACCGATAGCAGGCCACAGCGAATTTACACTGGAAATTGGACCGATCTCTCGATCATCCCCGAATAATCGAGAAGCCACGGGCGCGTATATAAGAAGGCTGAATCAAGCGGAACAGGCGTTTTGTTCTAGTGCTAGTGCGTTTCAGTACACAGCAACTCTAAAGCCTTTTTAAGTGAAATACTCCGTGAAATATGTCTTCTCAGACACGAAAAATAACGAACGAACATCGAGTTTATAATGACCATTGGGAATCAGAATATTTAATCTCAAACAATAATAATAAACTTCAGTGCATTGTTTGTATGCAAGTACAATCGGTTCCTAAAGAATATAATATGAAAAGACATTACACTATGTTACACGAGAAAATGTTTCGGCAATATTTAGGGGACTCGAGGCAGGCTATCATAATGGAATACAAGAAAAAACTAAAACAACAAACAAGTTTTTTCAAAAAATCTGACTCCGATAACAAGTGCAGTATTGCCGCGTCTTACAAACTGGCGCTGGAAATTGCCAAAGCAAAAAAACCTTTTAGTGATGGAGTGTTTATCAAAAAGTGTGCAATAAAAATGGCGAAACAATTCAATGAATTAAAAGTTGCCGAAAAATTTGAAACAGTCTCAGTATCGCATCAAACATTGACCATATCAATGAACATGTATCCAAAAAATTGCGTGACCTGGTTGAAAAATGTAAATATTTTTCGCTATGCCTGAATGAAACCACTGATCTGTCTGACATTAACCAGCTTGTAATTTTTATCCGAACTATTCAAGACGACTTCAGTGGAGCAGAGGAGATGCTTGACCTTATTCCTCTCCATGGTACAACCAAGGGTACAGATATTTTTGAAGCTGTTAATAAGTTGGTGTCAGACTACGGGGGATTTGATAAATGTTCCTGTATTGTCACTGATTTGCAGGACTATTGAAACAAAACAGCATCAACTGTCCTATGATACATTGTATTGTTCACCTAGAGAGCTTATGTCGAAAATCTTTACGTCAAATACATGTCATGAAAGTGGCTGTTAAAATAACTAATATTGTTAGAGGGGGCAATCGTGCTTTGACTCACAGAAAGTTTCGTGATTTTTTGGCCGAAGTGGATGCTACATATGAGGACTTGTTACTTCACACCGATGTTCGTTGGTTAAACGCCGGAAAGTGTTTGCAACGATTTTTCGCTCTATGCAAGGAAATTCCTATGTTCCTTAAAAATGAAGTGAAGTCCGACACTACGGAAGTGGAAAATCAAATGGCAGATGCACAATTTTTATCAGACCTTGCATTTTTAACAGACATGACATCTTACCTTAACGAATTGAATTTGAAGCTACAAGGAAAACAGCAGAATATTGCCAACTTATTTGGACACATAAATGGGTTCAAGAATAAAATTAAGCTTTTCAAGTCTTCATTACAAAAAAATGATTTTTCATTTTTTCCAAGTTGTAAAGAACATTTCGAAGGAATGAAGGATTTTGAGGAAGTTTCATATTTACCTCATATAAAATACATTGACACAATTGCAGAAGAATTCAAAAATCGATTTAGTGACTTTAAAAAAATCGAAAGCGACATTTAAGTTTTTACTCAGCCACATTTCTGTTGAGAACGTAAGCAGAGCCGACCTTCAACTGGAATTGTGTGATTTGCAATCAGACCCTTTTTACCAAGGAAGAACTAAAACTGGCTTGGACTTTTTTAAGTTACTGCCAGAAGAACGATACCCCAACTTGCGAAACTTAGGACTTACAATGGGATCAATGATGGGAAGCACGTATCTTTGAGAAAGCAGCTTTTCCAACACGAAATTTATCAAGTCAAAGTATAGATAATCCCTCTC